ACCCAGACTGGGGCCTGGGGGACGGGTGGTGGGGTGGGGGGTCGATGCTGAGGGAGATGGGAGCGGGCAGCCCCTGGGGGCTGACCCCAAGGGAGGGGCAGCACATTCACCCAGTGCGTAGACCCTCACGGGCCACTTCTCCCTGAGGGGTGTCCCCAGCGTGTGGGGTCCGGGCCCCGATCACCCCACCCTGGGCTGCGAGCCGAGACGGTCTGCGGCGGCCCCGTTGAGCGCCCGGGCGGCCAGCCCGGCCCTAGAGCGGCTCTGCCGGCTCCTTCCTCTGTGTAAGGGTGAAGACGTGTTGAAAATTGATTTCTGCTGGAAATGGGATAATTAAACTGGTTGTTTCTATCTCCATCATCGTCATAATAAAACGAGGGGACAGCAGGGTTGCGCATGGCATGAAGTAATATTGTCCGTCTTAATGCAAGGGAGCATTAATTGAATACAGATGGCCTTCCTGGAGCAGCTCGGTTATATTTCAGAGAAACGGGATAATGACGCCAGTTAATCATTTTTACAAGATAGAAAATTACTGGCTCCTCTGGGAAGATCATTAAGGAAAACAATTGTTCACAGCAATTGAAAATAGAGTTTTAATTATTTAATATAGAAATTAAACTATTGGAGACTGATGCTGGAAGACGAACTTAATAGAAATTTATACACAAGCATCTGTGAGCGTTTTAGCTTTATTAACCCGCCTCATTTCTTAACCTGGATCCATTGGGGAGCCTTCTTCAGCCGCGACTGGGCTTACTGCTTACGGAGGGCCTGGCACACAGGTGCCCGCGGACCCCACACTCGCTGTCCCAGGAGCACCTGCTGGGAGCCGCTGGGGGCGGGGGGTACCCAGGAGCCCAGAGCACCTGCTCCAGGAGGCGCGTACGCCGGCCAGGATGGGCGGAAGCGGGGGTCTCCCGCTCAGCAGAGGCAGTGGGGTGTGTGAGGGCCGCGTCACAGAGGGGGACCTCAGGTGTGGCCGGGTGACGCTGCTCCACAGGGACTGAGGCACGGATGTGAAGTGTTAAGCTGGGGCAACCCACCTTACGGGCCACGTGACTGTGACCCCCTGGGTGTCCTGGCCAGAGCGAGGTACTGATCCTGGCTGGCCCGGCTCAGAGCCACGTGACCCGAGCCCCCAGCCCACTCATCCTCAGGCTCACCTCCCCAGGGCGGAGGGGGACACCCCCATACTGCCCGCCCGATCTGCAGGGGCCCGCCCTCCAGGCCCAGAGGACCCTCGGTGCTGGCACACTGGACTCCCACGTGGGCAAGTGTCCCCTGGAGGTCAGAGGTGCTTTCAAGACTTCTGACTCAAACATCTGTAAATGGGAACTCCTGCTGAGTGACCACATGGGTGGCGGGCTGAGCATAGGAACGCGGGCAGAGAAATCCAGAAATCCATCCAAACACTGACCTCAGGTGTGGGCTGGGAGTACATTTTTCCCTTTGTTTTTATTCTCCAAATTTCCTACAAGGAGACATAGAGTTTAAATAAAAAGTCCTTTTTTAAAAAATATGGAAATCACGGGGCGCCTGGGCGACTCAGCGGGTTGAGCGTGGGACTCGGATTCAGCTGAGGTCATGATCTCGGGGTCCTGAGATCCAGCCCCGCCTCTGCGCTCAGCGGCAAGTCTGCTGGGGGTTCTCATGCCCTCTGTCCCTCCCCCACCTCTCTACGATACACGAGTCTTGAAAAAATACGGAAATCACTTTTTTCTCTTTTTTTTAAGATTTTATTTATTTGACAGAGAGATCACAAGTAGGCAGAGAGGCAGGCAGAGAGAGAGGGGGAAGCAGGCTCCCTGCTGAGCAGAGAGCCCGATGCGGGGCTCGATCCCAGGACCCTGGGACCATGACCCGAGCAGAAGGCAGAGGCCCCAACCCACTGAGCCACCCAGGCGCCCCAGAAATCACTATTTTCAAGACTTAAATTAGTAAAGTGGTTGCCACTTTTTAAAAAAGGTGGTGACACGCACACAGAGAACATCCGGGGTTACGAGCAAGGGGCCCCGCCATGCTGAGCTGGGCCTGCACAGCAGTCGGGCCCCTCCAGTCCCCTGCAGGCCCCAGCCCTGGGCAGCTGAGGCCGGGGCTCACGAGCGAGGGGCTCAGGTCAGGAAGCCTGGCTCCAGCCAAGGGCTCCCACGGCCACCGCACACATACGGGTCACCGGTGCGGGGAGGGCGGTCTCCTGGAGCCCCCGGGCCCTTGCGACATTGCAGATCTGATCACCCTTCCTCTTAGGGCTGCCACCGTTCTAATTACGTACTGTCTCTTATTACCAATAAATTCCAAGCGATCTTTTTTCTCCTTATAGTTTTTAGGGTTCCATAAATCCCCCCTATGCAATTTTCTGTGCTTGAATATATTACGGAATGCCACGTCTGTTACAGAAGCTAATTGATAATGTGATTCGTCATGTGGCTGGGGCATAATTCAGAAAGTTATTTCAAAGCCTCCGATACGCGGACCAGCACTCGCGCTTCATATTTCTCACACGAGCAGACACGGTGTGAGGTAAAAAATGTGGGTTGTACAGATGAAATATTCCCAGAGGCTTTTATTCTCGCTGTTTGGGTGGGAGCCAGCACCGCTCTAGAAGGGAGCTCATCTGTCCACGGCGGCTCCGACTTGAATTTATTCCCTGATCATTAGTTAGCTCTTTTTTTCTAAACTGGAAGAAGTATGTGTACATGTTTGACAAAAGGGAAAAAATTAACCAAGAAGGAGGGAGTCGCCATGCTTAGACGCTGTCAGTGACGAGCTGCTTTTAAACTCCTCCTGTGGAGCTGGTTACGGACGTCCGAGAAGCAGCAGGGAGAGCGCTGTGGACGCGCCCTTCACCGGCCACCCGGGGCAGTGTGGGAGCCCCCGGCACAGTGCCACGCACCGACAGCAGACCGTGCTCCGTCCGCCATGGCACAGGCCACGTGCAAGGGTTTCCCACACGCGGATCTCTGGCCTGTGGCTGTGGGGGCTCCCTCCTGCCCCCCATGCTGTGCCCGCGACGCCAGCCCGCTCTCCCTGTCTGCGGCTTTGACATCCGCGGACCCGGCAGAGATGACGATGACATCATCCGGGGGTGACCTTGCCGTCGTGGCCCTTGCTCACGGCCTCGTGCCCCTGGAGCCATCTGGGGGCCATTGTCCACGGCTTCTCCTCGTGGAGTCCTGCTGACTCGTGGACCGGAGCTGGCTCAGCCGTCCCTGGCAAAGGACCCTCTTGATTCTAGCGCTTGCTCTGGGGGAGTAAGGCCGCTGCGGATGCGCCCGTACGTGCTTCTCTGGGACGCGTGCCTGGGGGCGCAGGCCCGCTCATAGGCTCGTCACAGGCAGAGTTCCTGAGAACCCGTCTGACGGTCCTCCTGTGGCCGGCGTGCTTTCACAGTCCCAGCAAGGACGGATGCGGGCCTGGGTGCTCCCCACCTTCCCCAGCACACCGTGTAGGTGCTGGTGTCTACTTCAGCGGCTTTAGGGGTGCGCTGGGATACCTTGTTGCAGTCCGATTTCTCACCGTGTGGCCTGGCCTGGCTCTGACCCAGGAGGACCCAGGGCCGGTCCGTCTGACTCAGGGCAGGGAGGCTGCAGTGTGGGCTTCCCCCCCTCCCCCGAGTCCAGGACACATCAGGATGAAACCCTACCATCCACACCCCCTCACGTGTGCCTCACGGACGTGTGCTGTCTCCCGTCCACTTAGCTCCTGGTTCTCACAGCCCAGAGGGGACCAGTGGGCACCTGACCTGAGGCCTGACACCCTCTGGCCTGTGGGTCACTGTCTCTGGCTCCCTGGGGGCCCCAGAGCTGGTGCTTAGAGGCCAGAAGTCTCCAGGTGAGGCAGGCAGAAGACATGACCTCTGGGCGGACACCTTGCCATGTCGGGGCCTGGGAAGAGCCATTCTAGCAGCCCCCAGGGCCAGCGTCCCCAGGCCTTGCCACAGGCTTCCTGGGGCCCAGGGCGTTCTGTGGCCTGCCCTGGCCGATGTCTGAGGGGCTGCTTGCCAGGACCCAGTGCCTGAAGACACTTCGACCCTCTTGCCACCAGCCCATGGGCTCTCTAACGGCACTGGCTCCACCGGAGAGAGACCTGGAGCTGGCTCTCCCTGTCCCTTGGCCACCAGCCCGGGAAACTCTTGGGACACAGGCTCCTAGTACCTCCTAGTACCTTGCCCTGATCTCCATGTGGGCCAGCAAGGCTTGGGGCCCAGTGGGAGAACGCCTCCTGGGGACCGGGCATGTCTTCTTCCTACAATCACCCTCAAGTCTGGCTGAGCGTCCAGCTCTGAGGACAGTGGCTTCTCCCCAGGCTCCCTTGGTCCACTGTGGTGCCCACAGGCGGCTGCGGCACACTCTGCCCTGGGGGCCTCGGAGACCCACTTCTGGCCTCTAGCGCACACACTGTGGCTCTCCATGGAGCTTCTGGTCCTCTCCTGGGGGGCGTCCACGGGCCCTGGGGCTGGATTTCACACACTCATTCGGCAAATGAGGTGGCTGAGGGCCACCTGGCACAGCACTGGACAGCTAGTGACCCCTTCCGGGGACTCAAGCCTTGCCGCGCACCCAGGGTCACAGAGCACAGCACAGACGCGTGATGCAGACGCTCGACGTCACCGTTTACTAAAGCGCCTACACCAAACACGGTGGCGTTCTTTGTCCGGGGACCACCATGGGCCTCGAGACACAGGCGGCTCCCCCACCACTGGGACCCGAGGGAACGCACAGGGCAGGGGAGGGTTCTGGGGGTCCTGGCTGCTGTGTGGTCAGCCCCCAGGCAGAGCCCCACAGAGACGCTCCTCGCCCCGCAAGGGGCCCCGTGCAGGCCGGGCAGGAGGAAGCTGAGGAGGAGGCGCCAGAGCAAATCAGACTCGGGAGGGCCCTGGTGTGACTGAACAGAACTGGGGTCCGGGTGCAGGGCCACCGCGGGAAGGGCACCTGTAGGTGGGCAGGGCTGGTGGTGGGTCCTGGGAGGGGCAGTCCACGTCCTTCCCTGGGGGGGAGTCACCCGATGGCCAGGTGCGGCAGCCCGTACAGGACCAAGTTGAGGACGACGGACAGCCGCTCAGAGTCGCTAAGCTGCGGCGGGAGGGACAGCTGCTTGTCCCTAGAGGCCCATGGAGGCTTGCCTGAGGGAGAGTGGGGCAGCGCGGCTCACTGGGGCAGGGCTCGCCGTGGACAAGGGTGCTCCTGCCCCTGCCTCCAGACGCAGCCCCACCTGTGGACCTGCCACACGTCTACACCCACAGACACAGAGGCCCACAGGCGGTGGCACCCGGCCAGGGAGGGACCTCGCCAGGCCCTGGCCCGCCTGCCCCTCCACACCACTCCCAGCCCTGCGGGCCATGGGCCGGAAGATCCTGCCCCGCTCTGGGCCTCTCTGGCCACCAGCTGACGACCACCCTGATGGGGGCGGGGGGCCTGCACGACAGCCAAGGTTTTGTCCCTTCCTTTCAGTGCACATCCACGTGGGATGACATAGGCCATGCAGGAGCCGTGGCTTCCCCTTCTTCTGTCCCCAAAGTGACTCCCTAGCAGCTCCTCACCCCACGGACTCCTCTTGCCATCCCCCCCTCTTCAGGAACCGGCCAGTGCCAGGCCTTCCCTCCCTTCCTCCCACCCTCCCACAGGCGTTCAATAGCCTCTACTGTTTGGTGGACGCGTTCTGGGCACTGTGGACCATGTCACTTCTAAGTTTTCAGCTCCTTTTGCATGGTGCGTTTTGAAGGTTTCATGCTCCCGCCCCAGAGAGCACGCCTGGCCTTCCAGAACGTGGGCACCTTGAGCCTTTCCAACACCTGGTGTGTTTGGCCCTGAGGACCTGTGCTGCCGGCACTCACTAGGGAGGCTGTGCTCTTGGGCAGCACGTGCTGAGCCCCAGAAGTGGCCTGGAAATGGCGGGCACCCCAGCCCTGCAGCGCCGCGGGGACGCTGGCTGGGAGGTGGCCCTGCACAGCCTGAGGAGCAGCGGGGACGGGGGATGGGGGATAGCTTCCATTACCGTGGTTCCTCGGGTCACCAGCTCCCATTCTCTGAAGGAGACGGACTGCTCTCCCAATCGGCCGGCCAACAGTCAGCATGTCTAGGAAGGAAACATCCTCAGACTGGCCGGGGCACTGCTGGCAGGCTTCAAGAGAGGCCCACAGGGCTGGGGACGGACCTGGGACACCCGCGCCCACTCACTTTCCCACAGGATGCTGGCCCGCAGCGCATTGTCCTGCAGGAATGTCGGCCACTGGTTTGCCAGGATGCTCCTGACCCCCACCAGACTCAGAAGGACGGCGGTCTTGATGGGGTCCTCCAAGGACAACTGGGGCACACTGGGGGGGATCGAGGTCCAGTGGGACGGCCTGAGCCAACCCCAGGCCACAGCCCAACTGGCACCAAGTATCAGACTGACAACTCTTCAGGTTCTTAAAAGACTCAAGAACCACGTCCCCCCCACCCCCTGCCCGCTTGAAATGCTATTTAACAAAACAAGGCTCCCGGAGCTTCGGGACCCACTCCCAGCCTTGTGGTGGAATCAGAAGACAAAGCATCACGGTGAGATGGGCCCCGGCTCAGCCACCTTGGCAGCCCACATAGGCCCTGGGGTGCGTGGGATGTGGGGAGCTTGGAAGCCAGGGCACCCCCCCAGCTGCCAGCCCTCTGCCCCCTGGCCCAGTCCCCACAGGCCTTGGTTTGCCGCTGGAACTCCCCTCCCTCCTCCACTGCACACCCCCCCAACAAGACTCTTCCAGGAAAGAGACTGGGGGCAAATGGCTCCGCCCATGGGACACAGGGACACTGTGTTCCCCGCCCCCCCAGGGAAGCACATTCATCAGTCATAGGCCCTGGACACCCCCATTCAGTGTGTGGAGGCCAGGCTGCTGGCTCCAGCTGGCATAGGGGGCCGGCAGGCACCTTTTCTTCTCGGAGTTCTCCATATGCCGCTGCATGCTCTCGTAGGACCGCGTCAGGTCCAGCAGGACCATCATCTGGCACTCTGCGGGGCACAGGAGGGACAGTCCTTCAGTGGCACTCCCAGGAGCAGGAGGCCGGTGAGGCCCGGGGTGTTCCCCGGGGTGTGGGAGCCTCAGGGAAACGCAGCCCAATATGCCCGAGGCTCAGTCCTGACGTCCATACACCCTTTCCCAAGACCCACCGGCCGCACCAGCACACGGGGACATTCTCTGCCTCGGGAACCCCACACCCTTCCAGTCATCTCGTGCAACTGGCTCAGCTCCGGCTCCCCAGCATGCCGGGGATGGTCGCAGGCTCACGGAAACACTCAGCCGTGGGCAAGCCGGGAGCCCCACGCGCGCAGAGTTGACTCCCCCCTTCCTGCAGTGGCCTGAGGACAGGCACCGGGATCAGCCTCAGTCAGGAACAGGGGCTCCAGGAGCGCTGTTGCTCCCGCAGGAGCCTGCTGGGCCTAAGAATTCCTCCGACCCCACACATCTGAGAAGGCCTCGTTTCTACGTCCACTTGGGGCAAGGAACGCGCCCCTGGCAGGCTTCCCGGGCTGGGCGGGCTTTTGCATGGCCCGTCCCCAGGGGGCCGAGAGGGAGCCAGACCGCAGATAATGATGTGAGGGTGGTCAGGTGCCCTGACCATGGGACACATGTCCACGTGCTTGTTGTGCTCTTGTCACTGGGCTACGTGCCTCTTGAGGGTCCCTGAAAAGGCTCTCCTAGCGACGGTGTGGTGCGGCCGGTCAGCCCCTGCCTCGGGACAAGGTCACTCAAGAACGAGCCAGACCGCCCACTCAGAAGTCCTCAGGGGGCAGCCAGAGGGACCGCAAGGCCTAGAGTGCCATGTTTACGGTGGGGGGGGGGCTCTGATCAGTGTGTTCTGGAAATGCCCACCGTAGCCCTCCTGGACTCTGCAGGCCCAGCTCTGCGGGTGACCCTCCCAGCTCCTGCCTCTGGCTGTACCGGCCAGGTCTGATATTCTGAACTGGGTCTCTGAGAAATGGAGGAGCGGGACGAGAGCAGGAGGGGACATCCCCCAGAGCCGCGTTGTGCTTGCCCGGGCCCCCTGAGCCCTTCTCCAGACAGTGACCGATGGGGACACAGGGGCCTTGCTCTGTCCCTGAGTGGACACGCCTCACGCACTTCGGGGGTTGCTGGGGGCCCCGAGGGACCGTCTCACCTCGTAGGTTCATGGCAGCCAAGCGCTCCACCAGGACGTGGGACAGGAAGCTCTCCATCCCGTAAAAGAAGAAGCCGCTGCAGCTGCCCAGGAGCTGCTCCCACTCGGCCTGGCTGCGGAGGGAAGCAGGGTGCCCGGCGGGCGGGGCCAGAGGCAGGCGGCGGGAGTCAGGGTGCCCCCGGGGCGCTGGGGCCCGGACCACATCTGGCCCTCAGCAGCAGGCCGGTCCGACCCTCAGGACGTGCTCTGAAAGCACAGCCTGCCCTGCGCTCTTCACTCCCCGCCCCACCCCTGCCAGGACAAGACTAACGCCCACCCTCCTGCAGCAGCGTCGACCTCCGTCTTGGGTTCTAGCCCCCGGTTCTCCCGAGAATGGACCTCGGGTACCCGCAACGCTCTCTCCTCTCGCTGAGCAGTGGCTCTGGAAAGGGCTGGAAGGACTCTTCCCGGATGGCCAACCACTCCCAGGTTTCTGAGAGAACGCACGGGGGCGGGGGGGGGGGGGGGCGACCCCGCCCCCAGCAGACCCCGCCCCCAGCAGGCCCCGCCTCTCCCGCAGGCCCCGCCCGCGTGCCACCCTGCCCTTCTCCAGCAGGCCCCTCTGCAATGCTGTCCCTTCTCCACTCACAGGCCCCGCCCACTCGGGCCCCGCCCCACGGGCCCCGCCTTTCTCTCGCAGCCCCGCCCCACAGGCCCCGCCCCACGGGCCCCGTCCTTCCCTCCCGCAGCCCCGCCCCATGGGTGCCCCACCTTCTCTCTCTCTCTCTCTCTCTCTCTCTCTCTCTCTCTCTCTCGCAGTCCACAGTCCGGCAGTCCGTCCCTCTCTAGCAGGTTCTCCCTCACACACACCCCTCCAGCCCTCCCACCTCCCCACCCGCCTCTGCAAGTCTCAAGTCCGGGGAGCCAGGGGCACGCCCTGTACTGGACTGGCTGGGGGACCCCGGGGCAGCCACACACTCCCAGGGGCCAGGTCCTCGTCTGTGAAGCGGGGATGGGGACAGTGAGGCCTCCATGCAGGCGCCATGAGGACCAAGGAGCCTACTGTGTGATGAAGGAAGGCCAGACACTGGGATCCTCTGCGGATGGGGTGGGGGGGGTTGACAGGACAGAATGGGGGGCTCAGGGTTGGGGGGAGCCTGAGGGAAAGAGGAAAGAGGGACGAGGGGGAGGCGGAGGACAGCAGTCCCTCCCACCCTGCGTGCAGCTCCCCCGCCAGCTCACATGGACCTGCTGGCTGCGGGCAGGGTCCCCAGACGCCCCGACACCAACCTGGGGACGTGCTTGCTTCCCAGATGCCCCACCCAGAGCGCAGTGAGCGAGTCTCGGTATCTTTCCAAGATGTCCCGCGTGACGAAGACAGGAGTCAGCTTTTCTGCAGCAGGAATTGAACGGACACAAAACACGGGAGCTCGTCTCACAGGTGGGACTCTGAGGGGCGTGGGCAGCAGGCAGCCCCTGGCGTGGCCCTTGGCGTGGAGATACCAGACGTGCTGGAGTCGGTGTTTGGTGCTTGTGCAAATGCCCGTGCTCCCTCCCTCCTTTGTAAAGAGATTTTACACTTGATCTTGGCCAAAAGGCCGAGAAGTGATGGAAAGAAATTTTAAAAACCCGTTTAGAGGGGCGCCTGGATGGCTCAGTGGGTTAAAGCCTCTGCCTTCGGCTCAGGTCACGATCCTAGGGCCCTGGGATCGAGTCCCACATCAGGATCTCTGCTCAGCAGGGAACATGCTTCCCCCTCTGCCTGCCTCTCTGCCTGCTTGTGATCTCTCTGTCAAATAAATAAATAAAATATTCAAAATAAAAAATAAAAAAATTAAAAAAATAAAAAAAAACCCATTTAGAAAAGAACCACAGAAATTAGACACTTAGGCTGCAGAGGGTGGGGGGTGTCCGGCTCTGGGAAGGGGGCAGCGTACCTCACTTCAGGGTTCACTTTTCCTACCATATCGTCCTGACTTGGCTGTGATGGCCACAGGCCACAGGACCCCACTGCCCCCACCCCCTGTGGTCCGTGGAACGGGAGGCCGCCGAGGGCAGAGCCCGGAGGGTGGCACGTGGCGTGTGTGTGAACGTGTGTGCGCGTCGAGGGCCCGTGGGAAGCGCTCACCGATGCCCCGCGCCTCCTCGTAGGGGTCCACGACGACTAGGTCTGGGTTAAGGAGAAACAGCGCTCGCCCCGGGGTGTCCCGGGCAGCGGGGGCCATAAAGGATACACTTGAAGTTGTCGGCGTCTACGACCATGCAGTCATGGGGGAGGAGCCGGGGCGGGGCGTCCTGCACCAGAGATGAGGGTCGTTGGGGGCCTGGGTCCTGCGGTGGGGGCCCCGCCCCCCGCGCCCACCTGCCACCTTCTGTCCCTTCTTCGCAGGGCTCCTCTTCCTGCCTCGGCCCTCCTTCCTCACGGCCCCCTCGGCTGTGGACAGCAGAAGAAGGGGGTGTTTGGGGCTGGCACAGGCCGTGGCACCAGCATTCTGAACACACAAAATGCCCCCGAACGGTTCACTTTAAAATGGTTAATTTTTCACCTTAATAGAAAAATGCATAAAGTGTTGAGAACAACTGGCTTTCAGGTTCGTAAAGCCGGGAGAGCCGGAGTTTCTGAAACGTGAAGGCGCGAGGCCCGGGGCAGAACCGTCACCGGAGGCCCCGCGGCCGGCCTGGCTGTCCGTCCGCCCAGCGCGCCCGCCGCGGCTCAGTCAGAGGCCCCGGGCCCAGCGGCTCCTGTGCCTGCCGCGGGCGGACGTGCGCGTCTCTGTTCCAGCGGCTGCCGGATTCTGCGGCAGAACCGCGGTCGGCCCAAAACCCAGGACAGTTCCCTTCCCTTCTTTCCGCCCCCGCCGCTCCTTTCTGCCGGGGCAGCTCCCTGGCTGTGCCGTCGGCCCGGGTCTGCACGGGCTTCCCGGGGCGCGGGGTGTTCCGTGTGTCCCGCTGGCGGAGAGCGTCTGTCACGAAGCACACATGGACCCGCTGCTCCCTTCCTGCAGCGACGGCCCCGTGTACACGTCCGCTCTCCCGGAACCCGATGTGACGACCCCTGGGAGCTCTTGAGGGCAGGCTGGGCGGCGCGAGTTGTTTTTCTTTCTTGCGCTGCTCTTGGCCATTGGGGTGTCGGGGGCCGACAGAAGCCTGGGACGGGTTGTCCCCTCTCCCTCCTCTCAGGGAGGGCTGTTGAGACTGATGTGAACTGTTTCTGGAAAGTCTGATGATCTCAAAGGAGCAGCTCTGTCCTCTCCTTTCCGGGCCAGTTCCGGGAACGCGGGCTTTTCCCTCGAGTCTGGGAGCTGTTTTTCCACAGGACTTGGTCCGCTTTGCCTCAGGGTTCAAATACGCTGTCCTCAGGGCTCTTAGGATCTCTTAAGTCTCTGATGCATCTTTGAGCTGGTGTCTTTTCATTCCTAACTTTGTGTATTTGTGCCCCATCCGCTTTTTTTCTTGGTCATTCTTACCAGAATGTGTCTATTTTACGAGTTTTTAAAAATGTTTATTTCCAGATGCCGGGGGGGGGGGGGGGCTCAGTTGTTAAGCATCTGCCCTCGGCTCACATCATGATCCCGGGGTCCTGCTCTGGGCGTGGGCCGCTCCTTGCTTCAGATGCTGTACTGGGATCCTGGGATCATGTCCCGCATCGGGCTCCCCGCTCGGTGGGGAGTCTGCTTCTCCCTCTCCCTCCCCCCACTGGTGCTCTCTCCCTCTCTGTCAAATAAATAAATAATGTATTTTAAAAATGCAAATTGTTTTCTGTTTTGTTGTTGTCTGGTCACGTGCTATTGGGGTTGGGTTTTTCTCCCGTTTCATTTGCTGTCCTTGCTCCAGCTGCGGGAAGCCGGGGCTCAGCTCGCGCTCCTCCAGCACCCCCTGCTCTGACACAAACGTCCAGAGCTGCGAGGCCCTTTGCACCTGCTGCTCTAACACCGGTCTCGGGCTTCCTGTGGTCACGTCTCCTGAGTCCCGGGAGACCTGCAGAAGCTGGTTTCTAGTTTGCACGCGCATCGGCCTCCTGGTCGTGGCTTCTGTCCTGAGGCGGCTGTGGCGGGGCTGATGTACGCCATGGTCCGGGCAGACGGAGAACGTCCCAGTTGCTGCGCAAGCCTGTGTCTGTCTGTCCAGGCCCGGCTCAGACTCTCTCCGCTTCCCCTGTTGATGCGGCCGGCCGGACACGCGGGTGAGCGCGCTCTACCTCAGCGGGCCGGGCCGCCCGTCCTGCCCTGGGCGTGGGCTGCTCCTTGCTTCAGATGCTGTGAGGCGCAGAGCGTTTATCCTGCTGGTGACCCGACCTTTGTCACCCGGGAATGAGCCCAGCCCTGACCGTGCGCCTGTGGTCGGTCTGGTTCGCGTGACGGCCTTGTCACGCGCGGTCACGGAGCTGGCTGGTGCGGCCACGTACTTACTTCTGACCCGCGTGGACTCAGTCCCACCGCGTCGCCCTTTGAGTTTTATTCTTCCCGCTTGTCTCTCGCTGGCTGCTTGCTGCTCGGGCGAGGTGTCCGCATCGGTTGTTCTCCCTGCCGGTCTCCTCTGTTGGTCTGGAGTTCAAACACCGGTTCTGTTTCTGGAGGTTCTCCTGAAAGACCTACCAGGAACGTTTCACCCTCAAACATGCCTGCGCCAGAGCAGCTCCTGGCCTCGGGGTGCGCAGGGCCCTGGCACTCAGCGCTCGGCAACGCGTGCAGACCTGAGCTCACACTTGGCCGGCATTTCCCGTAGCTGCTGCAACGAATTACCCCACACGTGTGGGGTCCCACAGACCTGGAGGTCAGGGTCGAACGGGGTCCCCCTGGGCAACAATCAGGGTGTGGGTGAGGCGCTGGGGAGAATCCGGTTCGGTCTCCTGCAGCCTCTGGTGGCCACGGCGGGGCCTCCCCGTCCTCAGAGGCAGCAGCCCGGCCTCCTCCCGAGTCTCCGTGACCCTCCTGCCTCCGTCTTGGGAGGAGCCGGTGCTGTCCTTGGGCCTCCCGGCTCATCCAGGACACTCTCCTGTGTCAGCTCGGTCCCCGGGTCCCACTCCCAGATTCCAGCCAGCAGGGTGTGCACACGTCCAGGCCACCACTCCGCCCGCCACCCTGGGGTGGCTCTTCTCTGCCGCTGCCACTGACCCTGGCCACGCGGAGCCGAGGAGAAAGGACACTCCCATCAAGGGTGCTCACGCGGGGAGAAGCGGAGCCGCACCTCCCGCTGTGGGGCAGGGAAAGCAGATGTACTTCTGCGGCGTCATGGGAGAGTAGCTTCATGCCGTGAGGTAAGAAAACAAGTTTTAAAAAAGACCCAAAGCCCCAGCAAGTGAGAAGAAGGTTGACGCTTTGGCTCTATTAGAACATCGTGCTGGAAAGGGACCACATAGGCCCGTGAAGGGACAGGCTACAGAGTGGGAGGCGGCTTCTGTCCCTCACTTAAATGAGAAGATCCAGATGGAACCTATGGAACCCCACAAACCGAAAAGAACAAAAACCAGAAAACTGGCAAAACTTGGCCCTAGACACGGACATGACCAAGTCTACAACGTACCCCGGAGCGTGGGACAGCATGTTGCCGTCCTGCTGTTTGAGGGGGTCTCGGACCCCGCGAGCTCGCCCACGGAGGGCCCTCCCTGCTGGTCGCGGCCGAAACTGTCCGAGGAGGGCGCGTGTGCCGCTGTCCGTCTCCCCCCGACGCCTCCGCTCTTCGTGCCGCTCTCCCTCTTTTCCTGCCTTTTTTCCACATTCTCCTGAGCTTTGTGCTCCCCTTGCCTTCACGGTGTGTGGGGGACAGGAGGCTGTCACTCGCCACCGGGCTGTCTCCGTTGGAAGCTGGGGTCTCTCCTGCCCTCGCTTCTGTGTGGCCCGTGGCTGCTGCTGAGTTCTCGTCCCTCTGAACACCTTCCCTGGACTCTCCTCTCCGCTTCCTCTGTCTGGGGTTTATGGAAACTTCTGGACACATGGGCTTATGGTTTTCATCAGATCATCAGAATTACTAATTCCTGTGTCCCCCTCCGAGGGCTCCTGACGCCAGGTGGTCAGCTCTTCTGGGTGCATGGCCCGTCCTCCATGGGTCGGCCGTGTTTCAGGGACCGGGCTCCACGCGGCCTGTCCTCTGCTGTCCGAAACCCACGCTCTACCTATTCTGGTCTTCACTTGTCCCACTGGAGGGCAAATCTGGTCCCTGTTACCTCCTCCTGATGGAAGCCAAAGTCCAAGCCAGTTGTCTTTAACTGAACCGCTGCCCGCACAGAGCACAGGCATCCGGCACTGGGCACGTGGGTGCGAACAGCCCCCGGGACACGCACGTTCAGCCCGAGTGCGCGGCTGCCCCCGGCCTGAGTGCCCTCTGTCCTCCTGGTCCCCTCCCTCACTGCCTCTCACCACCTAGGAAAGGAGGAGCCCTGTGGTGGGTCACACCCATCCCCGCCTTTGAACAGAGCTTTGTGAGGCAAGAACAATGTGTTGTGTCCCCTTCAGCCTTTAGCCCCTCGCAGACACTGGGCGCACGGCAGGGGCTCTCCGACCACCTCCGAGCAGACAAGGGCCTGGAAAAGAGCGGGACAGGCGGCATCGGACAGGAGCGCACGCGAGGTACTTCAGACGGGCCCAGACGAAGGGTCAGTGTGAGCGTGGCCCGGGGCGCCCCTTACCTGTCTCCTCCTTACGGAGGCGGTTGCACAGCATCTGCAGGGAGAAGTCTCGGGACAGAGCGGAGACCGTCCCCTCCTCGAACACGGGAAGACCTTCCAACGGCAGCTCCAGAAGATGCTTGTCCACAATGAGGACGACGTTGTCTGCAGCGTCGAGCTGAACTATAGACCGGGGGGACAGCAGCTACAAAGGCAGCAGGAGACACGCTCCCACGGATGGGCAAACCCCTGGGTGGGTCTGTCTGGGTCCGTCTGTCCGCGGGGCAGCTGCTGGATCGCACACACAGGGAGAAGTCTGGGCTGGGCTTGGCATGTGAAGAGTGGGGCCTGGGGCGCGCCAGGACTCTCTGGGAGGATGGACGCTGGTTCAGGCTGAGTCACAGTTCAGACCCAGGCAGGGCCCATGTCACAGGGCCATCGGGTCCTCCGTGTTTCAAGGACCTGCCCCCACTGGGGCAGCCAGTTCCCAGGGCAGGTCCAGGAATGTCATGACTCCTCCCAACCTCGGAGCCCCCCTTTCAAAGAATGAAGACATATAAGCTAAAGGACTTGCACCCCACGATATGGCAGACTCTCCAGGGGCCATGCAGCCCTTGGAGCAGCTATTGGACCCGCCTGGCCTGGGAGAAAACCTGCTCTTTGTGGCAGGTGTAAGGGGACAAGGGGCCAGGCCACTACACCGGGACTGGATTCACCGTACACACAAAGTAAAAGCAAATCACTTCAAAGTGATCAAAGGCCTTAATCTAGGGAATTTTTAGGGCAGAATCTCATTCATGAAAGTGATCTCAGGTGGGCAAACTCTGGCCCCTCACCCTCAGGGCCGGCCCCAGGGGGCTGGTGCCCTGGCGTGGGAGCTGGAGCAGCCATGTCTGGGGCGTGCTGCTGGCCCGAAGTCCCCGCCAGGCGCTTTTGGGAATCAAAACACCCTTGGATAGAGCAGCCTGCCTTTCTCTTCTATTGAATAATTCCGTGCGGGCGACAGAAAATCAACCAATGAAAATGCCCTTGAGAAAGTGATTTATAAAATGGCAGGTGCCAGGTTGAGCGGCTGAACCCGCTCGGACAGGCCACAGCCCAGCAGCAGCGGCACCGGGCACATCCACCCTTCCTTCAAGGTCAGCGGATCGCGCACACAGAAGCTCTCTGCCCCTCGTGTCATCTGGGGTGCGCACACTCAGGATGGAGGCGGGCAGCGGGACAGCAAACAAACAGCACACACGGTCACTGCCACGAGCACCCCAGGCTGCCACTTCCCCAGGAAGGGCGAACACGCCGGGATCGGCGGGGCTGTCGGCAGAGGCCCCAAACCCCCACACAGGGGACCTCCCACCTCTCTGGGAGCCCCTCTGGGGAGGCCTGTTCCCATTCCGCCTGGGCTCTCCCAGAGGGACGGGCAAATCCCAGCCCAAGTTCTCCAGCAGAAGCTCCCCTCAGGCCCCCACTCACCATGGGACAGGGACACTTTGCTTTCCTTGTCTTTGCCCTTTGATTTCCCGTGGGAATCTGCAGCGGCCGTGGGAATCTGTGTTCTGGAAGTCAAAGGCATGTCCTCAGGTTCTTACAAACATGTAAACATCACACGTACTAAGAGTAGGAGGGACATCAGGGCAGTGAGTGCCACGAGGCCCTTTCCATGGCTCACTCTCGGGGACCGGTCTCCCTGCGCTGGGGGCCGGCGATAACGGCACACGCAGGAACAAATGGGGCTCAAGGTTGTCTCCGACCTCCTGGCAAGTCTCAAAACTACCATGTGCCCAAGCCCTCCAACTCCTTCTCTACCGAGCCTGAATCACAGGGACTCGGGACCTGGGTCACGCCCCCACGTCCCCTGCCGGCAGCAGCAGCGGGGACCAGAATGGCCAGGACACGCCCCCAGAGAAGACTTGGAGCAGCACGAGGGCTGGATCCTGACGACAGAGGGTCCCAAGTCGGGCGTCGTGGATGCGAATTCCGCACGGCCTGACTCAGCTTCACGGCGTTCGAGGCTTGGACGTCCACGTGGTAACAGCGTCCCCATGCCACAGCCGGCTCCTTCCAGGATTCAGGGAGGCAGCAGAGGAGGCCTGCAGGCTGAGCCCCCCACCCTGTCCGCCCCAGCTCCCAGGCACCCTATCCCTGACTGCTCCCAGCATTTCAAGGCCCTGCTGGGGACAGAGAGATGGTGACCCTCCTGTCTGTCCCAAGAAGGATGCCAACTTGGGGCCCAAAGCCCACCCCCAACCAGGAGATGTGGCCGGCCCCTCCCTCGCCCCCCGCAGACTCTGCCCTCGGAGCTGGCAGCCCACAGCAGGCACCTGGCCTCAGGGCAGCTGAGCACTGGGAACAGCGGCCTCAGGTAATCCTCCGTGGACGCAAGGAAGTCACTGAATCGCTGCAGAGACCGTCCTTCCCTTTCCAGGCGCGCACTTTCCAATTCCTGTGCCAACCCAGACGTCACCCCGGGATCCCGAGCGTCTGAGGGCGGGGGAGGGCTCATAACCCCCAACGGGGGTAGAGCAAAGAGTGGGAAGGGCCCTGCGGAGCCCTCAAACCTGCCCTTCCCCCCCAAAACCTGGGCTCCCTGCACCCCTCTCTGCTCCACCACCAGGGCCTGCCCGAGCCCCGCAGACTGTGCTCCTCGCCGCCTCTGCCTGCCGGCTCCTCCTCGAGGCCCCCGCCCCCCGCGCCCCACCTGGTGGTGCCTCTGCTGACACCGGGAGGAAGCCAAGCTCAAGGATTCCGAGAACCGGCTACATGTGGGAACCCCCACCTGGGCGTCCATCAGTGCCCGGGTCTGGATGGCGGGTGCCACTCACCTAGCGCTCCCTGCCCCACCCTGCTGCAGCCGGACCGGGACCGCCCCCCTGCACTGTGGCCGCGGCACCCTGGGAGTTGGGCTCAGGGGCCTCACCAAGCCTGAGCTGGGGGCCGGGTCTTCGTTGTTGACCTTGGCCATCTCCCTGCACTGCTGGGCACTGGCCAATAGGCAGGAGAGGGTGTCTGGATTCACGGCCACCCGCGCCACCTTGCAGGAGCCTGTGGAGAGCGACACCCTTCCTGTCCCCACCCCATGGCCTAACAGACCGCCCCCTGGGGGGTGTGCATGGGCACGGGGAGTGGGAAGCGTGAGCAGAGGGCGGGCACGGGGCTTCTCCACGTCCCGGCTGTGGACACAGCTGGCTCGGGGACGCTCAGGAGGGCTGGCAGAAGGGGGGACACAGACAGATGTCTCCGTTCCACAGCCTCCACCGCTTTACATGAAAGTTTAAGTGGAATTATATGCCTGAGATGTAAGGAAGAAAGTGGGAATGTAGTATTTTTTTGGGAGAAGAAATCCTGGAGGGGGGGAAGGGGCAGCTGGTCCATATCTGTGCGTCACTGGCCCCAAGGGCTGTGGGGGTCCAGGAAGCACACACCCCACCTCCTTCCCGGTCTCTCATGGGCTCAACAACCCCATGCAAGCACAGGAAGGGCTGGGCCCCAAGTGTGGGTCGTGGACCCGCCTACAGCACATGTCCCCGGGCCATGTGCGCACCCCCGGGGCTGCAGATGAGGCCTGTGGCAGAACTTACCTCCCACTTGGAGCAACTTCCCTTTGGCCGCGGGAACGGGCCTGGGTCTCTCATAGGCAGCGCAGTACAGATGCGTCCTGTGGGCAGGACGCAGGGCGGGGTCACCAGACCGTGGGGTCCCAGATGAGCCCCAGAGATGCAGACTCCGTGAACCGCATACCTCCATCCCGGCCGGAGCCCCTCCCCAGGATCGCCGTGGCCACATCGGGAGCCAGAACTGACTTAGGCCCATCCGCGCTGCACCCGGCGGGCCTTCTGCTCCTCGGTGAGGGCGGTCTGCGGCCACCGCACGGGCGCCACGCTGTGGACAGCAGGTGCCAGCTGGCCTCGCCCAGGGGCATGCTGCCCCACCCATCTCAGCTGGGAGCCTCGGCCAGCCCCGGGGCCTTCGGTCCGCCCCACATGCCCTCCAGCCTGGCAGCCCCGGTGCTGGGTTCGCGCCACGCTGCCGGATGTGCTAGCAGGGTGGGGAGCGGCCCCAGAGCGGGGCGGGAAGGCGCACCTGTCCGGCGAGTGCTGCAGAGTGAGGACCCGAAAGCCGGGCGGGATTTCGTTCAGGAGGGTCAAGTGCTGCTCCGTGACCCTGAGATTCTGCCAAGCCTGTGGGTGACCGACAGCAATCACTGACCGCACCGGGGCAGGCCCCTCGCCGGGAAGTCTGAGAAGTCCGCAGAGGCTTTGTGCAGGGGGTGGGGTGCTCAGACCGGGTGCCCCGTAGCCGGGCTGGGGCGCGACCCCTGCAGGACTCGCGGCCGCCACAAGGGGGCAGATGGCGCGCGAGGAATCCCGCGGGATCCCCCTGGGTCTCCCGCACAAGGCTGACCTGCGGGCGCCAGCGGAGCCTGAGAACCCCAGCAAGTAGCAGCGGGAAGCCTGTCCAGCCAGCTCGCGCCCCCCCCGCCCTCTGCCCGTGCCCCGAGCGCCACAGGCCACACGCGCGCGACCCCCGGCCTCTGCGCCGTGCCCCCAAGCACCGCTCCCCACTTGCTGATGAAACCAGCTTTGCGTTTGCAAGTGCGCTCGGGTGTCCTCGCCCAAAACCCTCAGCGGGCGACGCCCGTCAGCGTGGATGAGAAGCCGGGAGTCCCAGGCGCAGAGTCCTGGGCTGTCAGTGGGCGCCCGTGGCCTGTGTCCACTCTGGGCCATGTCTGCTTTGGCCGAAGCCACTGGACGGGCCCTGGGGACCGGGGAGCACCTGTGCCGGGGGCAGGCCGCCCGCCGGGGTGCCGAGGCTCTTCCATCCCTGCGCCCGCTGGTGCCGCCGCACCTGCCCGTGGCAGCTGTCCGGCTGGTCCGGCTGGTCCGGCTGTGACTGAAGCCGCCTTCCTCTGGGCACTTCCCCGGGAACTAATGAAGCTGGGCGCCGTTCGGAATGTTTACGGACCTTTTGCTACCTTTTGGTCGTTCCCGTCTGTGGGAGCGTCTGTCTTCCTCTTATTGAAGGGAGCACAGAACACGTGCTTCGGGAGTCTCCTCGGGGGTTCGCTCATTGTTTAGCTTTTTATTTTAACTGCAGTACAGCTGACACGGCGTTGTACTAGTCTCAGGTGCACAGCATCATGATCCAACACTTGCACACGTCTCCCGAGCTCAGCACAAGGGCACGCCTCCATCCCGTCTCCTAACCGTCCCCCCCACTCCCCGCTGGTGATCATCAGCCCATTCTTCAGAGTTAACAGTCTGTTCCTTGGCTTGTCTTTTTCTGTCGGGTCGTTTTTTCTCTTAAATTCCACATATGGGGGACGCCTGGGTGGCTCAGTTGGTTGAGCAGCTGCCTTCGGCTCAGGTCATGATCCCAGCGTCCTGGGATCGAGTCCCACATCGGGCTCCTTGCTATGCAGGGAGCCTGCTTCTCCCTCTGCCTCTGCCTGCCATTCTGTCTGCCTGTGCTCGCTCTCCCTCTCTCTCTCTGATAAATAAATGAAAAAAATCTTTAAAAAAAAAATTCCACATATGGGCGAAATCATATGGTATCTGTTTTTCTCTGACTTCCTTTGCTTAGCACAATACTGTCTAGCCCCATCCTTGTCGTTGTAAATGGAGAGATTTCATTCTTATGGCTTAATACTTCTCCATTGTATACACAGACCCTCTCTCCTTTCTCCGTTCATCAGTCAGGGGACACTTGGGCGGCTTCCATATCTCGTCTACTGTAAATAATGCTGCTCTGAACATCGGGGTTCATGTGTCCCTTTGAATTGGTGTTTCCGTATTTCTTGGGTAAATACCCCATTGTGCAAGCCCTGGGTCATACGGAAGTGGTAGTTGCAGTTCGTCTGCAGGACCTCCATACAGTTTTCCAGGGTGGCCACCAGCTCGCATTCCACCAGCAGCATAATAAGAAGGTCCCCTTTCTCCACATCCTCACCAAGTGGGCTGGGATTTTTCTTTGCAGGGTTTTTAATAAAAGATTAAATTTCTTTAACAGATAATGAATTACTCAGATTTTCTGTTCTATCAGCTTTGGTAATTTGTATTTTTTGAGAAATTTCTCTATTCCATCCAGATTGTCAAACTTTGCTGGAGTTTGGTTATATAGAATATTTCCTAATGGCTTTGGGAAGTCTGAAGGTGCTCTGTGAGGTCTTTTTATTACTGATAGTGGAATTTTGGGTTTTCTTTCTTTCTTTCTTTCTTTCCTTTCTTTCTTTCTTTTTCTCTTTTTCAGATCTTCTAAATGTTCATCAATTTCATTAGTCTTCTCTTTGGAACCCTTCTACCACTGCTGGTGTCCTCTACCATTTTAATTCCATCGTTTCTATTGTAGTTCTTACTACCCTTTATTTTTCTTAGAGGTGTTCTTATTCTAGCTTCTAGAAGTCAAAACCTAAATTACTGTTTGTAAGATTTTCTCCCTGTATTCAAGGCTGTATTTTTCCTCTAAGCCCTGCTTTAGATAAGTCTCATAGGTTTTGACATATGATATTTTCATTCTCTAAGTCAGCTTAAAATATTTTCTAAATTTCATTGTGATTTTTCCTTTGACTGATTGATGATGGTAAGGATATTGTTTAATTTCAAATTAATTGTATCTTTCAGGTGTTGATTTCTAATTTAATTGCATTGTGGCAGGACGACAAAGGGAATGATTTCCCTCAGTTGGAGAGTCTTCAGGCTTTGCTGTGGCCAGCACTGGTCCATAGCGCACACGCTCCCTGCAAGCTTGGAAAGAAGAGACCCCAGTCATAGTCAGCGCTGGGCTCGGGGGATGTCTCTGTGGATGTCCGGGCAGACCCGCATGTGAACGGCTCTCCTACACGTCCCTGCCTGCTTCCTGATCTATATAGGGTCCGTGGCTTCCACGGGAAGCCGAGGCGGTGTGGATGTCCTGTCCAGCACTCCGTTATTCCCGTCACTTCTGTTTCGTGCCTGTGAAGCTTGATGATGGTACGTACAGACCAAGAACGCGGATTCCCTGCTGACTGGTCCTCAGGTCACCTGGCTTTCATCGGACGAGTATCTTCATGACTTAGATACTATCTCTCAACTTTTCCTTCTGACATTTCTGTGTCCTTATATGTGAAGCATGTCTCTCTTAAGCGGCATATAATTCAATTTTGTTTTTCTTCTCAGCCAACCTGACAATCTTGGTTTTTAACCTATAGGGTTTGGTTGATTTACATTTATTGTAATTCTATATTTATATTTGGGTTTCTAACTGCTTTCTTCCTGCTTTTTCCTGCTGGGACTGTTACGTTTTTATATTCTCTCCCCCCACTCTTTTTGCCTGTCTTTGGGATAATAAAATGCTACCATTTGTTTTTTTTCTTTTTACTACCTTACTTACACATTATTCTAGTGGTTACCCTAGGGACCATGACATTAGTCTTTGGCTTACTGTGATCTAATAAAAATGTAATTTTAACCTTCCCTAGGAGTGACAGAACCCATACTTTGTAAGCTCTAATCCTTCCTGCTTTCTGTGTCATCTTCCACAAAGTAAGCTCAATTCCACAAGGTGTTAAAATGACGGTTTTACACTCTTAGAATTTATTTCCTTGCACCTGTTTGCTCTGTGCTGTTCCCAGCTGTCTCGTGCACTCACTGTTTCTGCCTGGCCCCTCCCCCAGCTTCTTGTGCTGCAGGCCGCCTGGTGGTCCACACCCTCGGTGTGTGGACCACCAGGCACATCTAAACGTGTCTCTGGGCGGCCGTGGTGGGTAGCAGTCTCCTGGACGCTCGCAGGCACCCATGGCTGCTTGCTGGCTGTCCTCGGGGTGTCTGTCCCGGGCTTGTGGGGCACTGCCGCTTTCTCATGTTTCTCCTGTGTGGGGAGGCCAGTGCTCCTGAGCCTTTAGCCTCTTGAGTCTGGGGAAACTGCAGCCATCGTGTCGTGTCACTGTTGTCTCAGCTCCATGTCATGCTCTCCTGGCCCTGGGAGACAGGTTTGGTGGGCACTCGGGCTCATGCTCTCTGAGGAGCCCTCATGTGCTGTCTCTCCAGACCCAGTGTCCTTGAGGCCACCTCCTCCCAGGATGGTCCTTATTTCCCAGGTGCCATGAGAACCACGAGGGATCTCACCGCCATCCACGAGCTTTCAGGCCAACTCCCCGAAGCCCAGGACGTAGTTGCAGTCCCTAGGTGGGTTGTCACAGGCCAGCTGCGTGTCCCAGCATGTCACGTGGGGGGTGGGGCAGTGGGGACAGGTCACTGTGGACAGCTTCCCCTCTCAGAGGCTATAGCTCGACCTGCACCCCCCATCCACAGCAGAGACGTTAATGAAAGCACTTTCTGCTGGTCTCCGGGCTCCTGCCATGCCTGCCTGTGGGGGTCTGGCTGTGGTCTGCGCCCCCAACCCCATGGGCGGCTGACCCCCAAGTCCGTGACTGGTCTGTGCCCCCGACTGAGTCAACACAGGTCTTCCACGAGGATCCTCTTGAAACAGCAGGAGGCAGCGGAGCCATCACAACACCTGGGATGGAGTTGGCCGCAGACCCGTCCTGCTGCTGACCCACCCGAGCCCCCCAGCATCCGGCCTCATCCTCAGCACTGCACGTGCGTCCGTGTGTCTGGTCCCTCAATTTCCCTAGGAGATGAGCGCTGGGCTAGACCCACCCCAACTTCAGTGGACACACATGGATGTGTCCTCCAAGAGTGGGGGCCTGGGCTGTGCTGCTTCTCCTGGTGGCCTGGCCTGCTCGTCCCCACGCCTGTGACAGCCTGCACAGCTCTTCAGTGCACTGGTCTCAGCTGGGGGTGATTCTGGGGACCTGAAAGTGGTCGCAGCTGGGGCGGGGCCACCAGCATGTGGAGAGTACCCACGGTGCCCAGGACGCTCCACCACAGCCTGACCCCAAGCATCAGAGGGAGGAGAGCAGCCCTGGAGGAAGGGCTGAGGTCAGACCCACACAGGTGCGCCCAGAGAAGCAGGGGGGAGCAGGGGATCCCTCAGAGCATCCAGGCTGCCGTCCTGATCCACTGCATTTCATCGAGGTCCGTTTCTCTAAACACTCCTGCTCACACCTGCTCCTCCAAGCAAAGGAGGACGTGCTAGTGTCCACGCGTTCTGCTGTGGCTGAAGGAAGTGCGTCCCCTCCAGAAGACCCTCAGGGGCCCTGTGCCCCCCTGACCTGCTGCAGGCCTGGGCACTTACGGTCACCAGGAGGCCCTCGAGGGGGCGGAGGTCAGGGAGGGCGAGGGACACCCCCAGAACCACACAGCTGGCAAGCGCCGCGCTGGCGCTATCTTCAGGCTGGTGACACGGTGGCGCCGGAGGGCTGCGTGGCCAGGGCAGGCGTGGACGGCTCGCCGCTCACCTTGGAGATGACTTCCAGCCTCTGCTCCACACTCGCAGACAAGCTGGTGGACGTCCTCCCCTTCTGCCTCAGCTGGTGCTCGAGGTGCAGGAGGGCTGCCAGCTGCGAGCTGCTGGTGTGGGCCGTGGCTGTGGCCAGGACGTCCCGCATCATCTCTGAAGCCAAGCAGCTCTGAAGCAGACACGGGACGGGGCTAAGAGGCTGAGCCCTGCCAGGGCCTATGGGCGCCCCTGTTGAGGTGGGGGAGGAGGGGGGGTGGCCAGGGGCTGCTCAGCGTCTCGCGGCACCAGCTTCTTGGATGCCGTGCTTCTCCTGGCCACTGGCTGCCACCAGGCCCTGCCCCATGGTGACCTGGCACCTGCCCACTTCTCTGCTCTGAGCCTCAAGGGCATGAGGCTTGGTGGACCCACAGGCTGTCAGTAACGGGGATGGGCCAGGGGACCCTCCGGAGCATAAGGCAGCCCTCCCTACTTCCTCCGGAGGCGTCGTCTTCCAGCGGAGCGACACGCTCCCGAGGCAGAGAGGCCGGCTGCGGCCCGGCTGGCCAGCCCACCAGTAGGAGCGAGTGCCGGGTGCTCCGGGAACGCCCCCTTCCCAGGTGGCCGAGAAAGGCCTTAGGCAGGGGCGCTGAGCAGACCAGACCTGAGAAAGCGCCAGGAACTGGCAGGTGACCGTGGGGTCCAGGGCGCCGGTACACTCCACCATTTCCAGGCTGGCGGCAGCGGCGATGTCCAGGAGGCGGCTGCGCAGGGCGACCTGCAGTCCCTGCAGCAGTAGCTCGGAGGCCTGGGCCAGGAACCGCTGGGCCAGCACCATCCTCCTCTGTAGGGGCGCAGGGCTCGGGGTCAGGGGGGCTCTGCGGGCCCGGAATCACGGGGCGGGGGTGAGTGGCCGTACCTGCTTGTCTGAGCCCTTCCTGCTGTGCTCCTCGTAGTGACCCCTGCCGGCCCCATCCTCGGGGGCGGTCTCCAGATGCTTAAGGCCGCTCAGCTCAGCGGTGGCCTACGGAGAAGGTACCTCCTATCAGCCAGCGCTCATCCCACCGCCGAGCCTGGGTGTGCCTGGCGCACTTGGGGCGTCTCCGTGGGACCCCTCGGTGAGATGTGCTGCAGGTAGCGGTCAGGCCTCTCGCCAACTGGGTTGACCCCCGAGGCCCTGGCCCAGAATCCCCAGCGGCTGGCAGGCGCAGCGTGTGTGGGGAAGCAGCTCTAGAGAAGCAAGTCCGAGTGTCCCCGGTCTCAGGACAATCGGATTCTGTGCTTACTTTCCCTCAGTCCTTCAAAATCACCTCCCCAAGTATGGGCAGCGGCCAGCACCGTGCAGCCCGGACTGAGCACGTCAGGTCCCCGTCCGCCCCAGGGACCACAGGACCAGCCACGCGGACGAGGTCCTCCGGAGGGCCAGGGGACTCTGCCGGGGGGCGGCAGCAGGCACAGGGGAGCCCCTGGGTCTGTGCGGTCACAGCCGGGAGCAGCAGGGGAAAGCCTGGCTGGGGGGCGGGGCCGGGGCTGTGGGGGCACACTTCTTGGAAGCCGCTTGCGTGTGTTTCCCTGATGGCCTCTGAGAGGGAGCGTCGCCAGTGCTGTTCCGTAGGCAAGGACCCCGGCCCCTCCTGCCTCGGAGCCGCTGGTGCAGGTGCTCAAGGGACATGGACGGAGGGAGGGGCCGGAGCTCCGTCATGTCATCCGCGTGTGGGCCCAGTCCCAGGTCCTGGGATCCAGACCCTTGAGGCATTAGGAGTGGCGCTCACACAGGGGTATGGGGCCCTGCTGCTTGGGGCTGGGGTCTTCCTAAAAGAGCAGAGTCCGGGGGGACAAGCCTGACTTTGCCTCTGAGCAGGTGCCCTCCAGACAGAAGAATGCACTTAGGATGGCGGCGTGCAGGGTCTACAGCCTTCCTTCCTGGCTGCGGAGCTGCCCGCGACCACCAGGCCTGCCTGGGCAGCCTTGCAGGGGGCTCCGGAGAAGCAGAGGACACCAGACGCTGTGGGTGGTGGAAGGGGGCTTGGGGTCCCTTGCGGCACATGAGGAGGGGGCTTCTCCGCACCCAGCACTCAGGCAGACCCCAGACTCCTGGAGGAAAGCTGCGGAGATGCAGACGGGACACCCACATTGGGGGCTGGGGCGTCTTGCCCTTGAATTCTGTATGTGCCTGCTCCCCGCTTCTCTCCAGAGTCTGCCCCCACAAGTCCGTGTCTCTTTCCCACCCAGTGCTCACGCGGGACAGGCTACTCGCCTTTTTCTTGCTTTTCCAGGCTACACGACCCTTCTCAATCAGGGACAGTTCGAGGCCCGTCTCATATCGCCCTCCTTCCTGGGGGGCTGCGGGTGAGCACGTACCGAGAGGCCGTCCTCCCAGTAGCAGGCGGGGTGCTCGGGGTCCGTGTGCACAGCCAGCAGGCGGAGGGCCTTCCCCGCCAGGCCCAGGACCTGCGCCCGGATCTCCGCGCGGCCCGCGGACAGCGAGTGCAGGCTCCCCAGCTGCGCCAGAGCCACATGGGCCAGGGTCCGCCGCAGCGTGAACCATTTCTGTGGGGGGAGGAGCGCCTTGGGGTTGCCCTGAGCAACAGCAGAGGCTCCCCGGCACCCCGACCTTCCCCACCACCCCGTCCCGTCCCTGAGCGCCCTGGTCTGACACCCCCAGGAGTGGCGACGTCCCGGGTGAGAAATGCACCCTCTGGCCTCTGTGGGGGGGAGTGGGGCGGTCTCCAGGGCTTAGGTGCTGGGGAGTCACTAAAATCGCTTAGAGAACCTTGACTTGGGACTCACTGACAAACAGATAAGCTCATGGCGAGTTCAATTTTAGGGCTATCTTTGGTGTATCTACGGTTACATCGAGTCACTCTGGTTCACAGTGTGTGAAGTCTGAGAAAGCGACTGAAATGGCAGGATGCGCCCTTCAGAGATTTTCAACCTCAACTTCTTTAACGAACGCTCTCACCCCTGCTGAGCTCTCACCCCTGCTGAGCCCTTCTGTGTGAGGAAATAATCGGCCCAAGCAAACGCATGCCCGGGTAGGAGAGGGCAGCGCCCAGGAACACCCCCAGGAGCCCCCCCAAGGCCGTCCGACCAGGGTGGGGGCGGGCTGGGAGCCCCGGGAGCTGAGGACACACCCGCGGTCAGAGGGCTCCACCCCTGCCATCCCCTGGTCGGTCCTGCCGTGCCCGCCCCCCACGCCCCCGGTGCCCCACAGGCAGGACCCAGAGCCCTGGGCCGCTGGCTCTCGGGCTGGTTACCAGGTCCACGGAGGTGACGTCGCTCAGGCTGTGCAGGTAGTCGGCCAGCAGCCTGTCCGCCGAGCCCTGCCCCAGCCGCCGGGCCTGCGCCTCCGCCCACGTGAGCTGCAGCAGGTCCAGGGACACCTCGGCCAGGTGGAGCCGCAGCCCCGCCAGCTTCCTCGTCAGGGGCGTGCTGACGCTCTGCAGCCGGACAGGCCGGACACACGCGGTCAGAGCACCACAGGGAAGGCCACGCCTGTGTCCTTGTGCCCCACATCCTCACGCCCCCTTTCTAGCTGGTCCCTCCCGCCCACGCAGGCCAGGGCCACACTCCACCCCACGAGCCCATTCGCAGGTTCAAGGGTCTGCACGGGGACCGTCACACGGTGTGTGCTCTCTCTGGCTGATGCCACTCACGTGATTACTCAGACCCGCCCACGCTGCTGCTGCGCTCACATCTGTCCACGGACACGTGTCCACGGACATGTGTCCACGGACACGGAGCACCTGTAGTCCAGGTGGGCCCAGCATGAGTACCCACTCACACACGGGGCTGCTGCAAACACAACGGCCGTGAACACGTGTGCATGGGCTTCTGCGTGGACGTGGGCTTTCACCTTTCGCAAGCAAATTCCTGGGTGTGGGGTGCTGGCTCCCCCGGGGCCCTGTTTAATGACCAAGCTGCTGTTCGTGCTTCAGCCCCCCAAGCAGCGACGAGAGTTCGGTCCCTCTGCGTCCTTGCTAACACCTGCCATGCCCGGTCTTCTAAGCAGCAGGCGTTTTAGGCGGTGTGCGGTGGTTTCCTTGACTCACTGGTGAGTTCATCATCCCCTCATGGAATTCTTCATCAGCCACATGTCCTCTTTGGAGAAATGTCTGCTCAACTCTTTGCCCACTTTTTATGGGAGTGTTTCTCTTAGTACTAAGTTTTACGAGGGTTTTATATTCTGGATACAAGACCTTGTCCATCACATGGTTTGCAAATATTTTCTACTGGCTTGTGCCTGGTCTTTGCATCCCCTGAATAGTGTCTTTTGAAGAGCAGGTGCCAATCTCTCAGTTTGTCACCCTCCCCTAGAGCCGTGTGTAAGGAATCTTTGCTGAACCCAAGGTCCCTGAGGTGTTTTCCTCCAGAAGTCTTGCAGTCTCAGCTCTCACCTTCAGATCTCCCGTCCTCTTGGGTTGAATCTGGCGTCTGGTGTGAGGAATGCACTGAAGCCGTCTGGGTTTCCAGTGGCTCCAAAACCACTGCCATACACAGTGGCCAGTCTTCACTGAACTGCCTTTGCTGTTTTGTTGAAAAGCAATCTTCTATCTATTTCCGGATTCACTGTTATGTGCCATTGGTCTGCTCGTCTTACTTATACACTAAAACCACACGGCTTTGGTTCCTGTCACTTTACAATAAGTCTTACAATCAGGTAGTGTTAGATCTCCAACTCAGTTTTTCTTAAGTTGTTTGCTATGCTACATCTTTTGCAGTTTCAAATGAATTTAAAATTTTTTTTTCAAATTTTTATGAAAAGCCTGCAGCTTCTTGGTCAGGATTACAGCAAGTCTTCTGGTCCATGAACATGGTATACCTCGCTATCTACTTAAGTCTTCTTCTCTCAATGATATTTTCTAGTTCTCAGGGGTAAATTTTCCCTTTTTTTGTCAAATTTCATTTTTATGCTATCCAGTGGTTATGTTTTTGAATTTTTAATACCTGATCAATTGTTGTGAGTATATAGAAATATAAAATTAATTTTTCATATTGTTCTTGTGTTCTAAGATTTACTGTAATAACTTGTTAGTCCTAGTACATTACCATTTTTGTAGATTGCATGAGAGTCTTTCTTCTTTTTCTTTTCTAAGAGAGCTCAAGTGTGCGAGCAGGTAGGGGAGGGGCATTGGGAGAAGAAAAGAGAATCTATCTTTTTTTAAAAGATTTTAGTTGTTTATTTGACAGGCAGAGATCACAAGTAGGCAGAGAGAGAGGCAGGCAGAGAGAGAGGAGGAAGCAGGCTCCCCGCTGAGCAGAGAGCCCGATGTGGAGCTCGATCCCAGGACCCTGAGATCATGACCTGGGCCAAAGGCAGAGGCTCAACCCACTGAGCCACCTAGGCGCCCCAGAAAAAAGAATCTTAAATAGGCTTCTCACCCAGCATGGAGCCCAACTCAGGGCTCCATCTCACAACCCTGAGATCAGGATCAGAGCCGAAAATCAAGAGTCGGACGCTCAACCCACTAAGCCACCCACGTGCCCCTGCATGAGATTTTCTGCACAGGTGATCATGCCCTCTGTACGCAAAGACAGTTTTCCTTCTTCCTTTCTAGATGGGCATTTTTGGTTTCTTGCTCTTACTTACTGAGTTGACTACAACTCAAGTACAATTCAGAATGAAGGTGGGGGGAGGGAGCACTGCCATCTTAGTGCTTTGCTTTCCCCACTAAGTGTGACGTGAGTCCTAGTGTTTTCACAGATGCAGTCTATCAGCTGGAAGAGCTTTCCTTCTGGTAATAGTTTGCTAAGAGTCTCCCCCCACCCCCAATCAGGAATGAGTGTTGGGTTTTGTCTACTGAGGTGATCATATTTTTAAGGTGATTTTTAAGAAAATATGGTGAGCCAAATTGATTTTTGAAAATTACAACAATCCCAGGATAACCCCAACTTGGCATTGATGTGTTATCTTTTCTACATATTTTTTTACATATTTTTACATATTTTACGTATTATTCTTTTTTACATATTATTGGATTTAATTCGCTAAAGTTTTGTCTAGAACTTCTGCATCTGTGCTCATGAATCTATAGGTTCTGTTTTGGTATCACAGTCATACTAGCCTTACAGACGGGGATGGGTTCTCTCCTTCTCAATTTTCTAGAAGACTCTGTGTTGAACTGGTGTTATGTTCTCCTTAAATGTTTGCTAGGAATCACCAGTAAAACAGTCTGGCTCTGATGTTTTCTTTGTGGAAAGATTACTAAAAATTCTGTTTCGTTAACAGATGAAGGGCTGTTCAGGTAATCTATTTCTTTTTGAATGAGTTTTGGTTGTTTGTGTCCGTCGAGGAGTTGTTCTCTATTGTCACAAAGTTGCTCAGAATATTCCCCTGTATTGTTTTACTACGCGTAGGCTCCCTGGTGATGCTACAACTCTTATTTCAGATACTGAGCGTTTATGTCCTTTTCTTCCCCCTGATCAGTCTGGACAGAAGTGTAGGAACTTTTTTTATCTCAAATAACAACCTGTGGTTTTATTGATTTTACCTTTTATTTTTATGTCTCCGATTTCACTGATCGCTGCTTAGATCTTCAATCCCCTTTTTTCTGCTCATTTGCAGTTGGCTCTTCTGTTTCCTTACAATGAAGGCTAAGGTCGTTAGTCTGAGATCTTTTTTCTTTTGTCGTATGGTTATACAGCACTACAAATTTTCCCCTAAGCATTGCAATTAGAGACGTCATGAAAACTGAGTTGTTTTCCGCCTTCAGTTCAGAAATACTTTCCCTTTTGATTTGTTCTCTGGCTCATAGTTATTCCGACGGACGCTATTTACTTTCCAAATATTTGGGTATTTCACCCATAGCTTTCTGGTGTTTTTAATAGAGGTAAAATTCATATGACACAAAACCACCGTTTGAAAGTGTACAATGCAGTGGCCCTTAGTGCTCTCACCACCTTGTGCAGCCTCACCCTCATGATTTCGTCCTTCCAAAAGGGAACCCCCACCCGACTCAACAGCCTTGTCTTAAGCCCCTCCCCGATCCCCTCCCCTACAACCACTAATCAGCTTTCTGTATCTATGGACTTAACTCTTCTTTTATGTTGCTTTTTGATTTCTACTTCAATCTCATCCTGGTCTTGACACACACATTGTCCTCAAGAGTGACTTCTGAGTCACTTGTACCCTTGTCCCTGTCCCTGTCCTTGCGTTCTGATGTCCGCGCCAGTTCCCGGTCGGTCCGGACGGGCTGTTCTGCCTGTTGGGAAGTCTATTTTCCCTGCTTTCTGGCGTGGTGCTTCTCACTGGTTGCCAGACATTGTGTGTCCTCCTCTTCTGGCAGGGGACACTTGAGCTGCTGGTTTGCCTTCGCTCTGGGACAGCCGTCTGCAGACCCTGTGGTCCTCCCAGGTCTCCGACTGTGCAGGCCGACCCAGGGCAGAGCTCATCCTGGACGGATCATCCCCAACTGAGACAAGACCTTCCGTCCGCTTGGCGCAGCGCCTGGGGTCACGAGGCTGTCCCGTCTGGCTGGCGGGAGCAGGTGCTGCTCCAAGCCTGAGTGGGGGCCTAACACCTTCCTGAGGGCCCCCTGCTTCCGTGGTGAGTGCGGGCCGGGGTGGGGCCACCTGTGCTCAGGGACGACGATGCCCATGTGGGCATCTAGGGTGTTGAAAATCTGTTTCACATTTTTGTCTACTCTTTGGTTACTTTGGAAGGGAGGGACGAATCTTGTTGTGACGCTGCCTCCCAGCCAAACCGCAAGGAGGCAGGCTGCCTTTCTAGGGCAAGTGCGGGGTGCGTCTGTGTGCGCCGAGGGGTGCTCAGGGCTCCGGGGAGGGACCTGGGACCCAGACTTACCTCCTGCGAGGACAGTAAGCCCCGCACGCTGAGAAACAGCGCCTCTGCCTCGGCCACGGCGCTCTGGACCAAGTCGTAGGCCTCCAGGTGATACGCCGTTCTCTGCTCTTCCCCTCTCGTGTTTCGGGCACATAATCTTTAGAAGATGGAAGAGTGGGATTTAGAACAAAAACCTTAAGCATTATTCCATCAGTAGTAACAAACTGCACAGTGTATAAATTTTAAATAATTATACTGTATCTTTATTAGTACTTCAAATTTTATGATTGGATGTTCTATATGTAAAGATATCGTCACTATATCTTGGCCCAAAAATACATATGCGCTTTATTCTATTTTTGTAAAATTAAATCTATCCAACGAACCAACGCCATGACGTTAATTGTGCTGATTTAACTGCCTTGTTTTCCTGTTCATGCTTTTCTGCATTTTTTAAAGTTCGACAATGACCACATATCGATTCTGTAATCACAGGATCAAAGTTACACCCCACGTGCCCAGGTGGCTTTTTCCTCATAAAGGCTGTTTTTAACACCTTCTACACAAGAGTTGCTTGTTGTGCTTGGAAATGCCTGTGCACACCCCAAGCAGGTGGGCGGCCCGGGGCCGGGGGGACGGAGGGGAGGTGGGCGGCCCGGGGCCGGGGACGGAGGGGAGGTGGGCCGTCCAGGGCCGGGGATGGAGGGGAGGTGGGCGGCCCAGGGCCAGGGGGATGGAGGGGAGGTGGGAGGCGGACACCGTCCACTGAGGCTTGGCCTCCTTCCTCTGTCTCTGGGTCAGCCCCTGCCCTCGAAGACAGTGGGGACTTTGAGAGGTGGCACGAGGGAGGCTGACGGTGGGCCGCTGCAGGGCCAGCGAGGGTGAGCACACGCAGGGGCACACGAGGCCGATGTGTGTGTGGCTGTGAGTGACCACAGGTAATGTGCACACACGGGTATGATGTGTGTCTGCACGAGCGTGACCAGAGTGTGAACACTGTGGGGAGGGGTGTGTGGAGCTGGGAGGCACACGTCCGCTGTGTTTGCTGAGACGCCGTGGGGGGCGGGGGAGGGGACACTGAGGGGGCGGGACAAGAGTGCGGACACCCCCTCCCCCCATGCCGCTGTCCTGGAGGGATGTGCAGCCAGCCACAGGGCCAGGAGGAGGCTCTGCTGGAACACAAGGGGGCCGGGGAGTCCTGAGCCAGGAGGAGAGCCGGGCACGGGGTCAGAACATGGGACAGGGGGGCAGGGGCTAGGATGCGGGGGCTCCGGGACAGACCCTCAGTCCCCCCGCCTCCCCGCCCCCCCCCCCGCAGGGCTGCTCACCTCTTTATCTTTGCGCGCTCTAGTTTTATGTCCACACACTGCTCTTTGTAGCCCCAGGCAGTCAGCTTTTTCTCAATCTCCGTCAAACGATCGTGCAGCTCGGTCAGCAGGAACAAGCATTCAGGAGGCTCACAGCCAGCGAGGTCCTCGACAGCCCTGATCCGGAGGCTCACACATCTACGGACGGCGGGGACCGTCCCATGTGGCCACCGCAGTCTGGCCTGAGTCACCCCGACACGGAGCGTGCTTCCCGCAGACCAGAAAGCACACGGGCCACGTGCTTCCACCGCGAGACTGTCCTGCCCCGGCACCGCCCTCCTGTGGCGCAGGGGCAGAACCCACGTGGGAACCCAGGATGACGCGCGGGTGCCGCCAGCTGGAGCCCCGAGAGCCCGAACCGCCCCTCAGACGGAGAACCCAGAACTGAACACACACAAGGCGGAAAACAAGGGGAAACGGCGAGGACAAGCCTCAGCTGCTACTTTGTTAAGGTCAGCGGGAGGCGATACACAAGTCTGACTGGGGAGAAGGTGGGCATGGGCAGGGGACAGACCTGTGACAAAGACTGTGACGTTATAGGAAAAGAGTCCAGAAACAGACACACCAACACGACCCAAAACCCAGAGTTCACAATTTTCTGGAAGAACACAAAATGCCACAAAGAGGCCAGACATCCGAAGGACCCCTAAGCCCGGGAGACGAGTGCTGGTCTCTGAGCTCTTTACCCAAAGCGCCTGCCACCGACCCAGACAGGACAGACCCCACGGAGGCACATGCTTACGGGACGAAGGTCACACCATCACGGGGTGGGGGGGCAGAGAAAATCCCGCGGCCAGACCCCTGCCGGGGCTGTGCCTGCCCCTCACCTCGAGGGGGTCCACACACACCCGGGGGAGCTCAGACGTGTCCCCAGAGAATGTAGGAACCAAACGAGCCACCTGCATCCTTGTCCCCAGAAAAAGGCACGTTGGAAAGGAAGAGACACTGTCCCCGGGAGCCAGAAGGCTGAAGGTCAGTCTCTGGCGACCTCCCCGGGCCCCTGCCCCCCAGGGCCATGGGCTGTGGACAAGGGTCCCCAGGTGGAAGGCTCCGCTTCGGAGGAGGCCAGCTGGGTCAGGGGTGTTGTGCGACTCTCTGCACCTCAGAGGTCTGGGAAGCCGCGTGAGGAGCAGTCAGCCCCGACCTCGTGTGAATTCACAGTTTTCCTCACAGAGAACTACCTGGCTTCCAGGTCTGTGCTCATAAATTCCAGGACGGGCGCTCGGTTCGGTCTCTCCCTCTGCAGGTCCCTGAAGACGTCGATGAGTCTCTGGAACTCCCGACAGGCCTGAGGAGGGCGGCGACATCCGCGGGTGGCTCTGGGCCATGGAGACCCGCCACCCCCCCCCCCCACCGAGGGCCGGGGCAGCTCTACCATCACTTTGCTGCCTTCGCCTCCCTTGGCCAGGAGCGCGTCTGCCAGGGTCAGCGCTGAGCCGTGCCAGAACTCCTCGTCCCCCCCTAGACGCCGGGCCTGCTCCACCAGCTTCAGGGCGCGTGCGTGGTTTTTCTCCTTGTTCGCCAGCTGCGCTAGAAGGTGCAGGCACTTTGCTTCCGCACGAGGGTCACCAAGCTCCTGAAACAGACGTGTGTGAGCAGAGTGTGCGGGGGCGGGACGGCGTGACAGCAGCTCCGGGCACCAGGCCTCGCCCCACACAGTGGCCACTGGGCAGCTCCCTCACCTCTGAAGGGCCCTCAGGGCTCGGGGCTGGGTGGACTTGAGGCCTGTGCATGTGCTAATGTCCACTTCCAGGGTCCCCGAGCCCGCCCTTGGCAGCGGTCCCCAGTGCCCTCCTAGGAGCCGCCGTCCAGACGCCGGCCACGGACGGTGGACATTTGCACCCAAGCCAGCCAGGGCTGCCTCATCCCCCGTCCATCACACGCGGTCGCAGGGAGCCTGGGCGTGCGGTGCGGGTGCTGTCGGCCTCTGAACCCCACCCGGGCAGGAGGACACCGGGCGCTCAGGCGGGAAGGGCAGGAGTCCATGGTGGCTGGCTCCGGACAGAGCAGCGAGCACGCAGCTCGAAGACACTGAAGTGGGGCCTGCTGGGCCTGGGGCCCGTGGTCCCAACAGCTAAGGCCCCAGAAGCCAGGGCAGGCTGGAGGCGAGGAGAGCCAGGAGCTCACAGGAGGCAGACACGCTGATGGGGGTGGTGGGGGCAGCCACAGCAAAGAGGCAGACGGCGGACAGCTGTGGATGGACGCAGGGGCTGGGGCGGGCAGATGCCCCAGGGAGACATTGCCAGGCTCTGACCGCTACGGCCCCATGGAGACGTGGTTCAGGGCAGGAAGGAAAAGCCCACGGGCAAGGCACCGTCCATGTGTGTGGGACATGGGACAGAAGGCTCAGGAGGGGCAGTGTGGCGTCTGGAGGACGCAAAGGTGCCCCAGCCACCACCTGGGCACGGACACTCCCCAGGAGCTCTCTGGCGGCCAGCTCCTCGGCCCGCTGATCTCAGAAGAGGCCGCCACCAGCAGAGTGCAGCCTCTCCGTCCCGCCCGGGCACTCCCCCTTCTGCCCCGACCTCGCCCCTCCGCTGTCGGGCCCGCACGCAGCCATCTGTGCTGGACAAGCGCCCTGCCCACGGCCTGAATCTCCCACGGCCTTGAATTCTGTGCTGTTAAGGTCCTTCTCTCTCTGGAGTCCTTTAAAACCCGTGACAGCCCGTCTGGTCCTGTAGCTTTGCCTTGCCCCCCAGTGAATGCGGTTCTCCGAGCTGGACGCCGATAGAACTGCCTGTCCCGGGCACCCCCTTCTCTGCGGGGAGGGACGCACACACGGGCAACCTTTCTCACGGGGGACGGAGCTCAGAAGGACATAGCTGGGGCGTTGGGGCCTCCAGCTGCGGGCACTAGACGCCAATCATGGGGGCACCTGAAGATGTGTGCCGGGGGCAGGGCAGGTCCAAGGGGCACAGCAGACGGGGGTGACGGGGGGCTGGGGGCTGAGCGAGGGTCTGGACAGCTGTGCCGGAGTGCAAGCCTCTTGGGGGCTCAGAAAACCTCAGGCTTCCGGCAAGGCCCCCGAGAGACCACGGACACCTGGGCGGGGCCCACAGCGAGGAGCCCTCCGGTCTCTCAGCCCCTGCACACGACATCAGGAAACACCCGCGGGGTCAGACCCGCAGCCGCCGCAGGAAGCGAAGACTTCAGCAAACTCTCCACAGACTGAACGCAAACCAGAGAAACCACAGGCAAAGGGCAGAGACTTAGATCCGAGTCCAGGATGGACGCTGCAGAACGGCGAGAGCCCAGCCAGCTTCCGCGCAGACGGCCTGCATCCCAGAGAGCCGTCGTGGTGCGCAGGCGCCCCCCGCCCTGACCCAGGGCCTGGCGGCCCCTCACCTGGAAGGCCAGGCAGGCCTCTGCCAGCAGCAGCCTCGTAGGCTGGTACAGGTCCATCTCCAGCAGCACATCGGCTTTGAGCAGCCACAGCTGGGGGAAGGACGTCCCTTCCAGGCCCCTCCCGGTGTCTCCGTTCACCATCAGGAGCTGGAAGGTGGGGCGGCAGGTCTGCGCCGGAGGCTGGGGAAGCTCCCGCCGTCCATGCTTCCCCCCAGGCCGGGCCCCCAACCTGTGCAGCGAGCCGTCTCCTGGGACAGCGTCTCTTCTCACCGCCAGCCCACCCCCGGGGGTGTCAGAGCAGGTCCTGTGCTGCCCCTGCTCCGGCCGCTGCCCCGCACTCTGGGACCCGGGTCTCCGGTACCAGGTGGCACCCGGACCGGCATGTGAGGTGTCAGTGAGCCCCTGAATTCCTCAAGACACACGGGGGCCTGGCACGTTCCTACCGTGCCTCCCAGATGGTTGACGCCGGGGGCTCGCAAATGGAGGCCCAAGGCTGGCGGCCCCGTGGTGACAGGTATTCAGAGCGTGGTGGCCGGACGGCTGCTTTTCTTGAGGCGCGAGCCCGCACCAGTGATCCCGCCGTGTGGGTAGTGGTCAGACCTCTGGGGCAACTCTCCAGCTGCCCCGGCCTTGGCCATCCTTCCTGGGAATCCCTCTGTGCTGCCCCCACCCGTCTTCTCTGAATCCTGCCCAGGCCCCTGGTGGGTGCACTCTGAGGTGATCTGTAGCCCCGATCTCCCCAGAGACACCCAGGGCGCACGGGGAGGGAACACACCCTGGTTTTCCCAGGGAACCCAGCATGAGGGTCTGTACACAGTTCGCGGTGAAGTCTTGCCCCACGAGGGGCCAAGCTGTGGCTCGGGGACACGGTGCTGCTGGCGGAGCGAGGGTACCTTGTCTTGGGCCACGAGGGGCTTCGTCTCTGGGGGCGACACCGCAGTTACGGGCTCAGCCGGAGTCGGCACACTGTCGTCTAAGACCGCTTCCTTGTTCTTCTCCTTTCTCAGGGCAATTTCCTTTCTGCAGCTAATGTGAGTAACATAGGTGACACGCCAAAGAAACGCAGCGGACAAGAAACAAATGTCTGGAAATGTTCAATGTCATTAGTGATCCAGAAACGCAAATTAAAACAGCCCCCAATCACTCACGCGTTCAGAGATGACACAGAACTCCCATGACTGCCCCCAGCGCTGCCCCTGACCCCCGGCACTGCCCCCCCAGGCCAAGCATCCTCCCACCCCCACTGTCTGGCTGTGTGTGATGCAGGATGGGCCTGGGGTTGGAGAGGACACAGCCGGGAGCAGCTCCGTGTTGGCCAAATCCTTCCTTGTTTACAGGGGACCGCGGGGTTGGGGGGCGCACCTCGCCTGCTCCAGATCGTAGATGTACGTCTGCCCGGCCTGCTCCTCGTGGTGAGTAGCTGCTTCTCTCAATTTCAAGTCGGAACAAGCAAGGGCAAGTCTAGGGGAAGGGGTGGCAGAGCAAGCACACGGTCACACGGGACGTGTGGGTAAGGGTCAGGCTGCACTGGGCTCCGTGTGCCTCATAAAAACTGGTAAACGAGAAAGGAATGGATAATTTAGTGATGTTTTCAGTAATATTCAGACCTAAGCAAAACGACACAGGTGCCTTTTGCGAACTTCAGGCGGCAAGAATGTCCACACTCACTCATACACCAGACTGCGTCCGGACTCACCGTGTAGGTCACCCTCAGAGGGAAAAACAAGGCACCGCGGGTGGGGACCTGAGCTCCGCGACAAGGGCAAGGTCTGCTTCGGTTCCGGCATGAAACGGTGTCGTGGGAAAGGGTTTCAAGCTTACAGAAGAGCTGCCGGAGCACTGCAGAGCCCAACTGCACGTCCCTTGCCAGAGCCCTGGGCGCAAGCGCTCACCGTACCTGCTTCACTGGTTGTCTCCCTGTCCCCCGCCACCCTGTAAATATTTTTTCTGGATGATTGGAGAGTAGGCCACGCAGCAGCCCTTCATTCTAATACATCAGCGTACATTTCCTTAGAAAAACAATCTTCCCTTAAGGACCCAGTCTAATTTTAAAACAAAAAGAGTATTTTCATGATCAAGTATGCTGATTTATTTGGTTTTACAAATCACTGGGCTATTACTTATGGAATTAGCCAACCACAGAATTAGTATTTGGAAATGCTGTTTCTCTTACATTGCTTTGGAGTTTTCCCCTTTAGCCTCCCAAGTGTTCCCCAGTTTCCCTGAATGTGCATCAGCCATACTGACCGCAGGTGGTAGAGGTCTCCGAGGCTCTTGCTGTCCACCACAGCGGCCGCGACGACTGCGCCCAGCTGCAGGAGCGGGACGGTGAGCTCGTGAAGGGATAGCTTCTGCAGGGCTCTGACCAAATGGTCCAGATAGTACAAAGTGTACGTCTATGTAAACACACAACAGACGTGCAAGGTCAAGGACGGGAGGGACGGCAGGCCACCAGCTCATAAGGTCTTTCGTCAGCAGCCTCCGCCCTCCTCCATGCCACCCACAGGTCCCGACGCACACCTGGGACCGAGCCGTGTTCGCTGAGTGAATGGACCATGTGCTCTCCCCCTTCTCTCCCTCACGCATAGCTTTCATCTTGTCACGCGCGATCACCCATAAACGTCACACCCAATACAGATGAAAGTCCTCACAGGAAACAATCCATTCACATATTTACTCAAATTAATGTTTTCGTCAGATTTCATCCACTAGGAACTGCTGATCCATTGAAAACAGAGTCTCTCTATGAACACATACAACTGCCTTAAAACCGAGTACGGGTAGAGACCAACTCGGACTCATAAAGACAGACTGGGTTCGACATAATTATTACTCTGGGGTGGAAAATTTGAGAAGCTGGACCAAGCGTTTAGCAACGTGCCTGAAGCGCAGGTCACTGGGTGGTGCTGGGGCCGTTACTGGGCCAGAAGACAATGGGGTCTCGAGAAGGAAACCACATTGGGGTGCACGTGTCCTGGGGGTTTCTGAGGATTCAAGAGGCGGATGGGAGGCTGGGTGGCGCTTCTGGTTTTTGTCTGCTTGTTTGGGGTTTTCCCTGTAGCAGGGAGACAACCAGCCGCGTGGAGGGCCCACTGTAAGCTACACGACCAGCTGGGTCCCCAAAGGCCTGCACCTTAGGGTTCAGGGTGATCTACATGCAAAGCAGCCGTCTCAGGGACACCCCAAAAGCCAGTGGCTTTGGGTGGCCTGGAGAACATGCATTTTCTTTGAGAGATTAATACCGATAACTCCTGGTGAGGCTGGTCAGGAAGCAGGGGTGGGAAGGCTCACATCCTACAGACCCTACAGACACTACAAGATCATAAAAGGACATTGAGAACAACATTATTTTATAAACTTGAAATTTTATGTTAAGTGGAAATACCCTAGAAAAACACAATCCACCAAATTATAAGAGAAACAGAAAATCAGAAAAGCTCTTAAACTACAAAGTAAACTGAATCATAACTTATGATCTTCCCACAAAGAAGAAAAGGTCCAGAAGTTCCCACCAGGGAACTCTCCCAAATTTAAAGAAGAAAGAACAAATAATCTTTTACAAACCTCCCCAAGAATAAAGAAAAATAAAGGTGGGAGACCATCCGCGGTGGCGACCCACGTGTCCTGGCCCCATGCACCCCTTGTGCCCCCAGGCCAGCAAAGATTATCTAAAGTCACAGGGAAAATGGTAGAAAGGACACTGTCACCGTTGCTGGAAAGAGTGACATGGTTTTGTTCTTTTCTCAGGCCCCCAGGTTGGCTTCGCGCTCTTTCTTATGCCAACTGTTATGCCCGTGCCTTGACCCAACTCCTTAGGCTTGACCAATGGCCTCAAACACATGGGGCAGCTGCGCTCCTGTCTGCCTCCCCATTTCTACGGTAATCGGTGAAGTGCTCTTACTTAGAACGGAGGTGGCGAGTGCCTCTCCACTGCACCCCATCCCCACAACCGCAGACAACTATGCTGAGGGCCTCCGCACAGGGACACCGAGAAGCGGCCGCCCCAGCAGCGGGAGGTGCCCCCACGAGCCGTGTGAACCTAGTGTTCTCTCTTACAAAGAACTTTAAGCCAAAAACTAAATTGTACGTAGACTAATATCAAGCATTTATTGTTTTGATGTAGTAATTTTGACCATAATTATTTTTATTATCTCTTGTTAATACCCTAATATTGAAATGTAAAAAAATTAAACTTTTCTTAGATCACGTTCCATTAACATTAAAATGTTCTCAAATATTAGTTATTAATGGACAAAATAAATAAAAAACCACTGGTATTTTGTCACATTCCAGACTTTTTAAAAAAATAAGTATCAGTAGAAGCACGAAGCCCTTCAAGAAAAAGAAGGGGGGGCGCCTGGGTGGCTCAGTGGGTTGAGCCGCTGCCTTCGGCTCAGGTCATGGTCTCAGGGTCCTGGGATCGAGCCCCGCGTTGGGCTCTCTGCTCAGCAGGGGGCCTGCTTCCTCCTCTCTCTCTACCTGCCTCTCTGCCTACTTGTGATCTCTGTCTGTCAAATAAATAAATAAAATCTTTAAAAAAAAAGAAAAGAAAAGAAAAGAAAAAGAAGTGGGGAGGTTAGGACACTTCCTAACTGACGAAAGGGTCAGTGTGACATTGTGACCCAGGGACATGGACCCTTGGCCTCTGTCCCCGCCGCTGGCACCGAGCTCCGACAACCCTTGCGACCTCGAGACCCAGGAGGCCCTTCCGAGCAGCTGAGTTTGTCCCCGCGAGGTGACTCCGGGCGGCCCCTGGACGGCTCGGGATGGGGGCTGCGTGCCAGGGACCCAACCCTGTGACCAGAGGCTGGAGGTCTGGTCCCGCCCCCTGGTGCCCGGGAGGGGGAGGGGCCGGAGGCGGAATAAGTCACCAACCAAAGATCCCCTCACTCGCGCCTGCGTCGCGGAACCTCCCTAAGGCCCTACATGGAGCAGCGAGGTGCGTGTCCGGGTGCTGAACACATCCGCACGCGGGCGGCACCCTCGGTGCCAGGCGCGTAGGAGCTCCCGTGCTTGGCACCCACCCAGACCTCGACCCGAGGACCTCTTCACGCGGCTGCTCGCTCGCGTCCTTGCTAACAACGTGGTGATCTAGAAAACACGGTGTCTCCCTGAGTTCCGTGAGCCGCACTAGCAAATGGCCAACCCTGCACCGGGGCGTCAGGGGAACCTCCAACGCGCAGCCGCATCAGATGGCCGTGCAGGTGGCCTAGGGCCCCGCACTGTAGACGCGGGGGCCACCTTGAGAGCCTGAGCTCTGAGGCCGAGGAGCCCACACCCACCAACCCTGGGTGGTCTGTGCCGGGACTGGGTGAATTCACGGGACACCCAGCGGGTGTCCCCAGGCAGCAGCAGAGCTGCACGTTGGTGTGGAAAAGCCGCATGTCTGGGGCCGGCTGGGAGCAGGAAATGGTTCAGAATCTAGATAACTTTTTACCAAATCCCGACACGGGCGCTGGACGCATGCGAAAGGACTGTGGACACCAACGCCGCAAAGGGACAAACACGATTATGCAGGAGATGAATAATGCGCTTCAGCCACATGGACTTCTCCAGGTAACCAACGGCAAAAGAGCCATGTGATGGGCTGGAAGCAGGAAGGAGAAGCAGCACCATCGCTTGAGCAGGTGGAAAGAAGCGTGTGGTCGCCGGCTACAGCCGCTCACGACTAAGCTCTGAGCAACGAGGAACAGGAAGCTTTCCAGCGGGTAAAGAATCTCCCTGAAACCACAACAAACAGCCATCACACCCCTAGCAAGTGTCGCCAGCCCTCCCGTCAGAGCTGGCAGCGCGGTAAGGCCGTGTGCCATGCCCGGCGTCTCTCCCGCACCTGCCCGGGCCTGGACCCGCGGAACCGGTGCAGGAGTGACGAGAGTGATGACGGGGTCCAGAGATGAGCAGCAGACGGAGCGATGGTCCCGCACGACATCCAGAAAACGTGACAATAAGTCACCACAATTATTAAAAGTCTAACGAAACTGTTTCTGTATTTAACGTGGTGTTCAAGCGTGACCCAGAAAGGCCTATTTGCAACAGGATCAAAGACGTCGAATACGTGGAACCCCACCGGACACGTGCATCGGCCCGCACAGGAAACGCACTCCCCGCCACGCGTCGAAGGAAGGCCTGAGCCGGGGGCGGGGTGGGGGGTGGACTGTTCACCCACCGGAGGGCCGTGGGCGTCTGCTCTCCCCAAGCCGGCAGCTGACCCGGAGACTCTGAGCAGTCATGAGCAGGGCCCCAGCCGCGGACTCCAGGGTGCACACGGAGATGCGAGGGGAACAGAAAGAACGTCCAGGACCTTCTCGAAGACCAGGGTGACGTCACGCGAGGCTCAGGCATCGCAGCCGTGAGGGCCGGGTGCGCGCGCGCGTGGACACGGTCACAGGGCAAACATGGCTCCGCAGAGAAGATGGGCACACGCTCTTCCCACAGATGGGCTGGAACATTCTGATACCCAGATTGGAAAGCCCACGCTGACCTCGCCCTACACCACACCCACCAGCCTCAGGCGATGGCCTGTGTGACTCTGGCACAGAACCCCAGAAAGCTTTCGGAAGACGCTGTAAACAAGTACCTTCACGACCTCTGGAGAGGGGAACAGTGCGACCCACGATGTCCTAGTGACAAAGGAGCAGATCTCTAATTTTATCACACGAACGTGGAATCTCGAGTCACAAGAAGACCTCAGGGGAGCCCACGAAGAGGGAAAGGTGATACGCCCTCCGTACACTGTCAGAGTGTGGTTTCCAGAGAAGGTTAAGGATTCCCTCAGATCAGTAAGAAAGAGACAGAAACCTTAGTAAATTGTGGGCAACAGACTGGAAAGGCCACAGAGACGACATCCGAGGGCCAGAGGACAGAGTGAGGTGCGGCCATGCTTCCTCTGGACGGCCCAGGTAGGAAGGGGAACCACGCGAGGCCGGCACGGCGTGGACGATGGCCCTCCCACCCGCTGCAGGGGGCGTGGCGCTGGCTCAGCCACCTCGGAAGGCCGCTTGGCCAGAGGTGACCTGGTCGTCCAAACCCATGCTCCACGGCCACGGGTGCCGTCTGGAACACTCACAGCAGCTTCACGTGTGAAGCTACCGACTGGAGACAACATGAGTGTCACCCAGTGTCGCGTGGACAAGCGGACTGTGGTCTAGTCCGGGGGCCATGGGATGGCTCCACGGCTGAGAAAGCCAACAGGTGACGGAGACACGGATGAGACGGCGCGAGCGATTCCAAACACAGGAGGGATACACGGACGATTCCCACGTTGTTAAGCACAAAAGACGGGAGGAAGGCGCTGGGCAATGAAGGTCCCAGGTCATCGGGTCTAACCCCTGGGACCTCACAGCACACGGCTTCCTTGCCAGCATAGCAGGCGGAAACCCAGAGACGGAGCGTTTCCGTGGGGTTACCCAGGTGGGCCCGGAGTCGGAGCCGGAGACGGGGGACGGCCGCGCTCGCCACCACAGCAGCCACAGACAGGGCCACTGGTGGCGTTTCCACATCTGGGCGCGCTCCCGGCGAGGAGGGCACCGCACGACGAGAGGGAGCACGTGCTTCCCACCGACACTGGCGGTCGCCTAGGGACGGTGGCGGCCAGGACGGCGGAGGCCTGGGAGGCCACGCACAGGTGCGTCCTCAACGAGGCACGAGGCCAGGCCCTGCTTACGTGCCCTCTTTCTGGATGTACTTCATGACACAACGGCTACAGTGTGGGGAGTTGGGGTTCGGGACGCCGGCCGGCACCCGCCCCTCAAAGTCGCCTTACCGGCTTCCGGATGCTTGACGGGTTAATGGTAAAGTCGCTGTTATCGTGTCTGAACAGCGACACCACTCCTTCGGGGCAGCAGTAGGAAGCCCACTCTTCCACGCTGGCCGGCGCGTCTTGGAGCTGTTTGGCCGCGGTGGTGGTTTGCTGCTGAGAAGCAGGAAGGCGGGACTCGCTTCGGAACCCCGCACAGCCTGAGCCGGCGGGGGCTGAACCCGGAGAGGGCGCTGCCTTCGGGGGCCCAGCGCTGCCTGGATCTGGGCCCCCCCCGCCCCGATGGCACCCCTGCTCGTGGCCACCCTCCCTGTGACCCACACCACAGCCACGTTCACTGTCACAGCCGAACGCACTCTGACATCACTTGCGAGAGCGCAAAGCGGACGCTGTTGGCCGTGTGCACGGCCAGAGTCTTCCCGGGGAGCCAGCGCCTGCCACCCTGCGCTCGGAGGACGTGGTGCCGGAGCCCAGGGGGAGGCCAGCTCTGCACGGCCACCCCGGGATGCTGGCGCTTCCCCTCTGCTCCAGAGAGCCGGCCTCCCACCCACACGCCTGCGACCAGAGAGGAGACACGCGTCCTGGGTCACCCTCCTAACAGCCCGGGGGTGTCCTCCACTTTATGGAAGAGGACACTGAGGAACAGGGGGTTCGTCAGGCCCCACAGCCTGGGTGTGTCCAGGCCCAGCCACGTGGACCCAGTCTGTGGCCCTGGCCTTCTGCTGTTGGGGGGCCCAGACACGTCCCAGACACGTCCCACACTCGAATGTGTGTGCAGTACCTGCTTGGGGTCTCTGCTCTTCTCTCTGTCCTTGTCCTTCTCCTTCTCTTTTTCCTTCCCCTTCTTCTTCTCCTTCTCTTTCTTAGGCAATAACAAAGGTGAGCTGACTGTTGCTTCTAGAATTTTACTTTCTGAAATTGCTTTTCCTGCTGTTAATAAAGACACCTGCGGAAAAATGAAATCCGGATTTGCACCGTTAAGAGCAGCTGTGCACACGTTCCTGCACCTGCTCAGATCTGAGGGGCGGCTAGTGGTCCTACGGCTCTGAGGGGCAACCTGGTGTCTACTCGGGCACCAGGGCCACACCAATGAGCCTGCCCCAAACACAGGGGACTATAGTGTCCCTCAGTGGATGGGACACTGCAGTCTCCAGGATGCTGGACCAGTGGGGACACAGAGCTGACCTCCAAGGAGTGCCTGTCACCTCCATGAAGTGAGTTCACGTCTCTAATCGAGAACACGTAGAAATTTTAGCTGTTCTCCTAAAAGAAGTGTTAAAGAATCCTTGTTTTGTGGATGGTGGGAGAGTGGGCTGGGGCATCTTGAAGACCAAGGATGCCTTCTCAGTCTGTCTCATTCTTCCCACTGCCAAGGGGTGACAGTCCCACTGTCCCCCAGGCACATTGCTGGGAGGGTCAGGGGCATTGCCCTCAAATGTCCTCGAGAACCAGAAGCTCCAAGAGCTGCCCTGGGAGGGCCCTGTAAAGAGATGGTGGGGACGGGGGATGCACAGAAGAAGGTTCTGGAAGCAGAGTGCCAGAGTGCTGAGGGGTAGGCAGAGGCAAGCATGGGCTGGCTGTCCCCCCCCACACCGTTGCCCTGGGGTACTTTGCGGCGGATGGGCCGGGGTGGTGGCGCGTTGCAGGGAAGAGTGTCCCTGGCCACTGCAGTGGAGCAAGGCTGTTGTCTGTGCGTTGCACCAGCTGGCGAGGCCCGTGGGCTGCAGGGGAGGTGTCGGCTCCTGCCAAGAGCCGGGGACGGGGCGCGAGCAGCCTGGCGCCTCACCTGCCAGATACGCCTGAGGCACATGTAGGCCAGGAGGCAATATTCCTCGTAGCCCGCGGCACTCGGGGACACCATCAGCGCCAGCAGGGTGTAGGCCCGAGCCAGCGCCTCCAGCTGTCTCACGTTCCGGAGCTTCTCCACAGGGACTGTCCCCATGTCCTTGGACACCATGCTTTCTGGGGCTTCCTGAGTGGACAGTGGCTCCTCTGCAACACAGGGGTGCCCCAGCCATGAGCCGTCCTGACCAGGCCCTTCTAGAAGGCATCCTCTGCCATCAGGGGCCGGGCCGGCCTCAGGGATACTGTCCCAGGGCTCCTGCCCCGGCAGCAGGTCCCAGCAGAGGCCGCGAGGACACGTCCACACCGGGCCGGCCCCGAATCAGAGCAGACCGCACCCTCACCTGCCCCCTCAGGTGTGTCCCTGGCCGGGGTGATCAGCATCAGGATGTCGACCGCCCACTTCAGGTGGAAAATCACGTCTTCCATAGGAAACTGCTTGTAGTACAGCCATTCGCTGAGCTCCAGGATGTACTCAACTTTCTGCCACTCATTCTCTGGTTTCTTTGGGACGAAGCAAAAAAAGACAGAAGAGACACGCGCTTACCACTCAGCATCCCAAACGCTGAGAAGGGCAGCGTCCGCTGCTTCCTTTTCTGGAAGCCAGTGGTGGGCCCTCACCCCGCCTCCACGCGGCGGGACCCGCGAGCAGGACATCTGCCGCCCACACTCGTTAGAACCTTTCTGTCGCTCATAGTTTTGTCCCAAGACCAAAGCCTGGCACAGTCTCTCCGGGTCCTCCAGTTCCCGGCCTGTGCCCACCTGCCCCTCCCGACCCCCCCGCCCCGCCTCCTCAGTCGGGCTGTCTTTGGTCCGTGAGCGGCTTTGTTTCCTCAGAGGGGCCTTCAAACCTGTATGGGAGGCACGCTCTGGATGGTTCTGTGGTTCAGCAAAGCTGCAGAGCCAGGGAAGACGCTGCTCCATCCCTCGGGCAGCCCCAGAGCCCAGCCCGAGGCCCGGCCCGTGCACAGACTAGGTCACAAACCACGGCACGCGGCAGTGGAGCTGCCCCCACCCTCCCAGAGCAGAGCCAGCCCGGCCAGTGGCCCCTCTGCCTCCCGCCTGCTGTGCCCCATGCCCCATGCCTGACCCCCAGCGAGTGGAGGGGGCACTGTCATTCGTGGGGCGGGAAAGGCAGGGAGGAGGAGGGGGGCGCCGAGGAGCAGGAGTTTGACTTCAGGTGTTGGGCGGACGCATCGTGAGAGGGAAGGGGCGCGGGCGGGCGGGCAGCGGGGCGTGGGAGGCGAGGGGAGAGGGGTCCAGGCTCAACACTAAGCTGTGAGGCGACTCAGCGGGGAGGGGGCGTTCAGCCTAGGAGCCTGGCTGAGATCATCAGGGAGGAAGGCTTGTGGATGGAGGGAAGCCGGGCCCTGAGCCCCCGCCACCCCACTCAGTAAGTGCGGGGGGGGGGGAGGCTGAAAAAAAGAATACACGGAAGGAGAGAAAAAGTTTACAAATCTTTTATGTGATCAGGGGTCGCGCCCGGGATGCACGAGGAAGTCCTATAGCTCAACGATAAGAAGAACCAAATGAAAACTTGGGCAAAGCATCAGAACAGACATTTTTCCAAAAAGGATAGACAAATGGCCAATACATGTATGAAAATGCATGCATCAGTCACCCGGGAAATGCAATGAGATCGCTCCGTCGCCGCCAGGATGCTAGAACCAGGCGGCCAGGTGACAGTGTCACCCGGGCATGGAGAGACTGGAGCCCTCACCCAGCTGGTGGGAAAGCACTCCTGGAAGGTTAGGTGGGGAGACCCCGCGGGGCCCCGCAGTTACGCTGCTCGGGCAGAGCCTAAGAGAAACGTGACCGTGTGTCCCCACGGGAAGAACACAGACACCCGTGTGATGGGAGAGCAGCAGCCCTGAGCAGGCGAAAGCACGCACACGGCCTCACACATGAGGTCTGGACACCTTACGCTGCGTGGAAGAAGCCGGTCACAGCGGACACACCTTGTGCAACTGCACTTGCATGGCATGTCCAGACAGAAAAACCTTTACAGGCAGACAGTGGACTGGTGGCTCACTGGGGTTGGCGGTGGGTGGGAAGGACAGTGAGAACAGACCTACGGGGTTTCTGGGTGGCGATGAAATATTGTACCGTTGACTGTGGTGATGGCTGTGTGACCTTGTGAATTACTAAAAACATCTCGTACCCCTGAGGAACAGGGAGCACGGGAGGAGGGGACTTGGGGCCAGTGGGGATGGACAGCCTTTGCAAGAAGGCTGGTGCCTCTCTCTGAAGTAGTGGGGGCCACGCTGCCTGGCCCCGGTGAACGGGATGGGGACCTTGGTCTTCACCGACCACTCAGCTTTGACCACACAGAGCAGTGTCCTGACCCGTCCCAGTTAACTCCTTCCCGAGAGTCGCCCCACCCCGGGACCCTGGCTCAGTGGAGAACCCTCCCAGCAGGACGTGCTCCACGAGAGAGACACGAGAGATGCTCTCTGGAACAGGTATTTGGGGCTGGGGAGCGTCTTCAGGACAACCTCAGTCCCCCCCTGCCAGGGCTTCCTCGTCCTTCCCTGAGTCCCACCTGCTCTGCACCAGGCACCTCCCCTCCCCCGATTCTGCCCCCGTGTCACTCCCAGTCTGCTCCGTTCTTGTTGGCATGGGGAGTCTCAGAAGGTTGCAGAGCCCTGCTCCCTCCGCAGCCCAGTCCAGCCTCGGGCGTCCCCTCCTCGGGTGGACTCCCCTGCAGAACAGGACGCCCCACCCGCCAGCTGCGTTCCTCCACGCTGGGAAGGTGCGATAGAAGAGAGTGGTCTGTCAGGCGCCCTTGACTCATCAGAAGGGCACACGCCCTCCCTCAACTCCTCTGCTGGACGAGGAGGGGCTCAGCCTCCCACCACGGGTCACGTCTCTACCCCAGAAGCTGAGTCGCAAGCACCCGAAGCCCCGAAGCCCCGGTCAGACCTGCAGGGCCCGGATGGCGTTGTGGTGGCAGATCAGCTGCCCGGACGCGCTCCTTGAGTTCCAGGCCAGACGGCGCCACATGTGTGCCTGATAATCTTCCCTCTCGTCCTTGAACTTCTGGATTTCCATTGTGAAGTTCTGGCCAAGTCTGGCTTTCACAATGACCATATGTTTAAAAATCAAGCTTAAAAAAAGCAAAAGAGAAAAATTAGTGCTTGAAAGAAAAACAATTAAATATAGATGATGCATCTGAAACTAAGGAATTCGTGTCCCTTTTCCTAATGACAAAGACAAAAGACAAACAACAGAGCCCAGTTCCTCGGCATCTGTGTGCAGCTGATTTCCCTTCGGCTGGGGAAAGAGAGCGGACTTGGGAAGGCGGCAGAGCCAGAGCCGAGGAGGGGGGGGGTGAGAAGGGAGGAGGGGAGGAGAGGAGGGGAGGGAAAGGAGAGGGGAGGGGAGGGGAGGGGAGGGGGCGGGGGAGGGGAAGGAAGGGGGCGGGGGAGGGCCGCGGAGGAGCGCTCACAGGCGGTGGGCCGTCCGCGGCAGCACCTGCACGGCCTCGTCCAGCACCTTGAGGCCGCCCTCCCAGTCTCCGTGGTCCGCGTGGCAGTGGAACAGCAGCCCGTAGAGCGCAGCGCGTAGCGTCAGGTCGTCCTCGGCACCTGCGGCGGGAGGGGCTGGTGTGCGGGGGCCAGGCTGGGCGGCCCGGGGCCCCACCACCAAGCCCAGTCGGCCTCGCTGAGCCCCACGGAGCTTCCTCCGCCCGCAGGTGCCTCCTGAGCGCCGCCTGCCCCCGCTGAGCTCGGACTCTGCGCCCCCCCCACCCCAGGTCCTGCTGGGGTCCCTCCTCTGCGGCTCTACAGATCAGGCTGCCGGGACCGCGCCCTTAGGTGTGGAAGCGGCCTGCGGAGGGACGGAGATAAAACTGTCCTGTGGACTTGCCACCGCACACCCCAGGGCGCGCCCTAGCTTCCGCACCCCGGGGTCCCACCTGAGCAGAGGCCCCGCCGTGGGTGCAGGACCCGCGGGGGCTCTGTTTGCATGGTGGGCCCCGGAGCAGACGAAGGCCATGGCCGGGGACACTGCTGGCGCCAGCACCCACTGAGTGGGACCTGTGCGCCCCCGTGGCCTCTGCACGGCCAGCGCGGGGCTCTCAGTATGCAGGGTCCCTGCCGCCCACACCCAGCAGCGGGACCGAGATGCTGGTCAGCTTCTGGGACTGGGCCACAAGGGCTGCTCCTGCCTATCCTTTCAGGCCTGAGGGGCTGGGGGTCCTGCCCTGTGCCCCGCGTCTCTTCCGTCCACGCCAGGAGCCCCGGTGCGCTCTTCGGCCGGAGCCTGTGGGAACAGTCAGGGCTCAGTGCTCCGAAGTCAGTAACACGTGGTCCTACTTTTCGTTCATTATTTTAAATCAAGTTTCTCTCTCCGACAGACCTGAAGTTCTCGGGGACCGGAGACTGTCCCCAGCATTTACACTCCCCAGCAGATACTGCCAGATATACGGATGATTATTTTTCTCAGCAGAATTAAACATGAATTCTTAAATATGTTTTTACGTCCTAGTTCAGTTTGTGTTTTGGTTTGGTTTTGCAAGACAACATCTCCGCCTTGTGTGGAAGTGCAAGACTGTGACCAGTCTGCCGGGTATCCCAGGGGCTGGGTCCCACAGCAGCCACTAGGCTGAGCGAGCGGGCCCTGACCCCAGGGCATCCAGGACAGGGCCCCTAGTTGGTGTCCTTGAGCACACCATGGGGGCTCCATGAGGTTGTTGCCCATCACACCCCAAGTGAGGAGCCGACACTCCCTGTGGTCTCCGTCCGGATTAAGCAGGCTTCATGCAAGGCTGCCGGAATTCACGGCTCGGAGCACTTGCCTCTCCTCGGGCCTGTGGCCGTGTCTGTCTTGTGTCTACAAACCTGGGAGAAAGTGACCTTCTGTCATCCCTCCGCTGTGGGAGTCCGCCGTAGGCCACTGGTGAAGAAGCAGCACTTTCCCTTTTCCCTGTAGTCGAAACGAGACGCACATACAGGAAGTTGTGAGTTACTCTTTCACCGTTTTGAGGTTTATTTGGCTCAGTACCTAATTACAGAAATTGCAACTAAATTTCTGAAATACTAAGTCATGAAAAGCGAAGTCACATTTCACCCAGGAGAAGAATCTCCCAGCCCATGAGCCCGTACACAGAGACCACCCCCAACACAGCAGCTTTTCCAATGACATGAAGTGTCCAAATCCATTTTAGAGACTGAAATCAGTGGGATCAAAAGCACATTAGAAAAAGCTTATTAAGAAGGATGCCTGGGTGGCCCAGTCAGTTGAGAGTCTGACTGTTCGGTTTTGGCTCCGTCCTGATCTCAGGGTCCTGGGATAGAGCCCCAGGTCAGGCTCCATGCTCAGCAGGGAGTCTTCTTAGGATTCTCTCTGTCCCTGCCTGCTTGTGCGTGCTCTAAACAAACACAAATGACTCGTAGGAGATGCAAACGCAGCGCTCAGAGGCAAGTTTACAGCTGCAAAGGCCTACATGGAAAAAGAAGAAAGATGTCAAGTGAACAACCGGACTTTCCACCTGAAGGAACTAGAAAAAGAACAAACTAGACCCAAAGCCAGCAGAAGGTAGGTGGTGATAAAGGCAGGTAGAATAAAGTAATCGACAAAACAGAGGTTGGAAAAGTAACAGAGAAAATCAACGAAAAGATCGAGTAAATTGACAAACCTTTAGCAGACCAGCAAGGAGAAAAAGAAGACACGAATAACTAAACTCAGAAGTGAACGTGGGAATTTCAACACCAGCCCTGGAGAGATAAGAAGGGTTCTAGGAGACCCTGTGGGCTAGCGCGCACCAACCAACTACAAGACTGGAGGAAACAGGCAAATACCTTGGAACATGCACATTGCCTACACTGACTCCACAAGAAATGGAAAATCTCAACAGATGTACACAAGTAACAACTGAACCAATCATCAGAAACCACCCAAAAAAGAAAAGTCCCGGACCCAATGGCTTGTGGTTGGATTCTACCAAATGTCTACACAATCGACAATAATCCTCCTCAACTTTTCAAACACTAAAGTGGAAGAAATACTTCCAAAGTGATTCTGACACCATTACCTTGAGAGCAATCTAGACAAACACACAGCTAGAAAAATCATAGACCAATACCCATTAGGAATTTAGATGAGGGAAAAGTCCTCAACAAAATTTAGCAAATCAAATCCATGACCACGTGGGGTTCATCCCAGGAGTACGAGAGTGCTTCCACGTAACATCAATCAATGTAAGACATCACGTTAATAGAACGAAGGAGAAAAACTCCATGATCATCTCAACTGATGGAGAAAGGCATTAGACAAAATCCAACAGCTTCTCATAAAATCTCAGAAAACTGGGAAAGATGGGAACATTTCTGAACACATGAAGGGTATTTATCAAACCCCACAGCTGACGTTGTGCTCCGTGGTGAGCAACTGAAATGCCTCCCCTAAGACCAGGAAAGAGATGAAGATGCTTTCCCTGCTGCTGTTCAAAATTCTACTGGAATTCCAGCCAGAGTAACAAGACAAGAAAAAGAATAAAAGGTTTCCCAAATGGAAAGAAGAGGTGAAACTCTCTCCATTCACAGATGATATGATCCTATATATAGAAGAATCCCAAAAAGTTCCCAAGAAAATCATTAGAGCTAATAAGTCAACTTAGAAAACCTGTAGGACACAATATAACAGTTTGTGGTTTTTCTATTTACCAGCAACTAACAATCCAGAAAGGAAACTAGGAACGTGCTGTGCACTTACTTGTGTCCCCCACCACTACCGCATTCACGTGTAGAAGTCTTCGTCCCCATTGTGCTGCTATTTGGGGGGTAATTAGGATTAGATGAGGTCATGAGGGGAAGGGTCCTCATAAGACCATAAGATGAGACAGAAGAGATCTTGCTCTGTCCCCACATTGCCCCCAGTGGAGGACACAGCAAGAAGGCAGATGGATGCAAGACAGAAGAGGGCCTTCACCAGAACCGGGCCACGCTGGTTCCCTGGTCTCAGAATTCCAGACTCCAGAAGAACACAACACAAACTTCTGTTGGGTAAGCCGCCAGTCATGCAGTGTGTTGTTACAGCAACCAGAGCTAAGACAGAAAGCAAATTCATTTATACTAGCACCTAAAGGAATTAAATACTTCCAAAGAGGTAAAAGACGTATCTGCCAAAAACGATGAAAACATCCCTGAAAGAAACTAAGGAAGACCTATATGAATGGGAAAACATCCATGTTCATGGATAGAAAGGCTTTAACATGTTCAACTGTACGTATTACCCAAAGTGATCTAAAGATTCAACACACCCACCTCAAAACTCCAACACCGTTTTTAGAAGAAATGGAAAAGCCAATCCTCAAATTCATGTGGAATTGCAAGGAGGCCCCAAGTAGCCACAACAATCTCAAAAAGGATTAATAAACTTGCAAGGCTCCTAGCTCCTGCCTCCGAAATTTTTCACAAAGCTACAGTTGTCAAATCAGTGTGGCCCTGGCATTACGACAGACACACAGACCAGTGGAATAGAAGAAAGACCCCAGAAGTACACTCTTCCGTAAATGGTGAAATGAGTTTTGACAAGGACGCCAAGATCACTCAATGGGAAAAGAACCACCTTTTCAACAACTGGTGCTGGGACATGGGATTTTCACACAGGATGGAACAAAGCTGTCCCCCTGCTTTATAGCATATACCAAAATTAACTCAGGTGGGGGGAAATCCTGAACACAAGAGGCGAAGCTATAAAACTCTTAGAAGAAAACACTGGAAAAATTCTTCATGACATTAGATTTGACAATGGCTCCGTGGATGTGACACCAAAACATAGGCAAAAAGAAAAAAAATATTTGAATTTCATCAAAATTAAGAACCTCTGTGCGTCAAAAGATACCACCAAGGGAGTGAAAAGGCAGTCAAACAAATGGGGAAAAAAATCTGCAAATCTTATGTCTGATAAGGGATTAATATCCAGAATGTGCAGAGAACTCTTTACAACTCAACAAAAAACAAACCAATTCAAAAAAGGGCAAGGAACTTGAAAAGACTTTCCCAAAGAAAATATGCAGATAGCCAAAATAAGCATATGAAAAGATGCTCTATCCTTAGTTGTAAGAGAAAAATCAAATCAAAACCACAATGAGGTACAGGGGCCCCTGGGGGGCTCAGTCAGTTAAACATCTGACTTCCGTTCTGACTTTGGTCCCCGCCAAACCTCCCAGAGCCTGTCTGTCCGCTGGCCTTGGAGGCATCGCTGGGCCCTGGACTGAGGGCTCAAGAAGCTGTGATCATGGGCTCCTGCGTGGTCTGAGCACGGACCTCTGTCTGCCAACGACTTGGACCTGCAGGCCTTCGTTTCGGAAGGATCCCGCTGAAAACTGCGGGTTTACAGGTAGGAGTGTGGCTTCCCTGGCAGACAGGAAAGGTGCTGGAAGCCCTGTGGGGAGCCGAGTCCTAGGGCTGGGAGTCTCCAGGATGGGCAGAGGACACTCGTGGTCAGCAGGTGAGTGGGACAGTCCTCACTGACCTGCACACACCCTCTCAAACTGGGTCTGGGCCCAGCTCTGCCAGCCTGAGGGGCTGGTGGACAGAGGGAGCCACACAGGGACGATGCATTTACCAAGGCCGCCCATGCTGGTGATGGGGTGGGCATGGGGTGGAGCCAGGCCAGGACGCCGGCTCTTCTGTGGTTTTCCTCAACTGTCTGAGCCTCCTGCTCTGTTCCAACCTCCTCCGTCCCTTCCTCTCTCCTGCTGGAGTTTTCTGGGTACGGGTCAGTGTTCTCTAGGGGAGGAGGGAGCGAGGGGTGGGGTTTTGCCCAGCTGGGATTTTGGAAATGCCCTTGTCCTTCGGGCCCCCACTCCGCTGGCCTTCACGTTCCCGGTTTCAAGAGCTCCCTGGGGTCTGCCTTTCCTTGGGATCTTGCCCACCCTTTCTGGGAGAGACCTGCCCCGCCGTGGCCCCACACAGCACACCTGCTTTTTCGCTTCTGTCTTGTTGATGATGCAGATGATCCGCTGTAGGACGTTCTTGGTTGTCCTCCTGCTGGCTGCGGAGGACAGGAACGGAAGCCAGGTGTTCCAGTAGTGCCTCACGGCCACCATCACCAGGGCGCTGCTCCTTGCAATGCCCCCAAACCTGAAAGGGAATTCCTGACCTGGCCAGGTGTAGACAGGGATGGACAGTGCAGCAGCAACCCGTGAGGCTCCCGGATTTACAGGGGAGGTGGAGGACTTGGGTGCCGTGAAATAGCCCTCCGTACGGGCGCTCCCTCCCTCCGATGGCCACACGGCCTGTGGGGACCTGCTCATGCCCAAGTGGGTGGGGGGGTAGGTGTCACCACAAAGGGTGAGATAGCCCTGGCCACGGGCCACCAAGGGAGAGCCGGCCTCAGCGGCAGTCCCCACTGAGCATCGTGCTCGTCAGCTCGTGGCACTGCAGTCGCCACTCGTCGCCCACGCGCAGCGTGCACCCCACACCACCAGCCCGGAGCGCGCCCGGCGTACTTGGCACTCTCTATGAAGGCCTTGGCGGCCGCCAGGCGCAGCTGCTTTCTCCCCTTCAGGTTCTCCATGATGCTCCTGCCCTGGACGCAGGCTGTGGCGCTCAGCATCTCCGCCACCAGTTCAGTCTCCACCCTGGAGACAGAGAAGGGCCTCAAATGCAGGACGGCCTTCAGGGGAGACAGGTGCTCTGCAGGAAGGCGAACGAGCCCTGGGGGCATCCACAGGAAACTCATGAAAGTCCCTAAGCCATAGCTCACTAGCTGAATCCGGTCAACCCACGGAACCTTGACAAAGAATCATGAACTGGTGTTGAAATGACTCACTCATGTCTCTGTCGTGCAGCAGCAGTGAGTGAGCACGACAAGCCTGTCTGCTGGGACCTGCCCTTGTAGGATGGCCAAGTGCCACCCAGAGTCATGGGCCCCATCCCGTGTGCCCCAGTGTGTCTGGTCCCAGGGGCAGTCCACTGTGTGCTGAGAGCCCAGTCCTATACGGTTTCAACTCAAAGCAACGTCAAGAATGCTGTGGGATCCCTTCTTCCTCAAGGTTTCCTATCTTAGCCAGACTGTGGGTTGTGCACATACAACACCACATACACTCAGAGGTCACCCCCTGTCCAGTGCTGGAGGGGAACAAATCCCTGAAACTCCACTTAGGGGGGTACTGGATTTATTCTAAGAGAAATATACTGGATCCCAGGTAGACTCCCTCCATGGGCCACCTGAGTCTATTTTTGAAGTGTCTCTGAAAACAGCTTCTAGTTGGGTCTGTCTTATTGGATCCAGTGGGGTGAACCTTGCAGTTTAACTGGAGAGCTCGTCTGCTTACATTTAGTGGATGCGTGGATGCAGTTGGGGTGGAATCTTCCACTTTGCTTTGCTGTCCTTTCGTCCCATATGTTCTTCCTTTCCTCCACTTTTTTGGGTTAATTGAATATTTTTTTGGCATTCCATTTTATCTCCTCTATTGGATTTTAGTTATACTTTTTAATTATTTTTAGGGACTTGCTCTAGAGATCACAACATACATTCTTAACTAGTCACAGTCTGTCTTGAATTAACATCTTATCATTTCACGGGTGACGTCCAAACTCTGAACAGTAAACTTCCGTGTACCTCATTCCTATTGTTTGTGCTATCGTGGTCATGCATCTTACTTCTACATTTATTTAATAATCCCACAATTCAATGTACTTTGGTTTTAAACAGGCAAGTGTCCTTTAAAGGACTGACGAACTGAAGGTGGGAGCCTTTCACGTTTGCTCACACTTTCACCACTACGGTGCTCTCCGCGGCTTCTTGGGCCAACTTTCCACCTGCTATCGTCTTCCTTTAGCCTGAAGAATTCCTTTTGGCATCTCTTCTAGCAATGGATTATTTTACCTTTAGTTTATCTTAAAACATCTTGATTTTGAGTTCATTTCCTGAAGGCTATTCTTGGACATGGAATTCTAGATTGACAGGTTTTGGGGGTTTTTTTCTGTGATTTTGTTGTTGTTGTTGTTTGTTTTGTTTTGTTTTTTAGCATTTAAAGCGTTAGGCAGTCTGCATTGTCTCTGCAGAGAAGTCTGCAGTTTTGACCTTGCTTTCCTGTACGTAGCGCATCTGTTTGCCTTCTGACTCCTTTCTAATGATTTCTCGTTACCTTTGGTCTGCAGCAATCTGACTACAGTGAACATGGTGTGGTTTTCTGTGTGTTGATCCTGCCTGGGGTCATTGAAAGTCTTGGATCTCTGGGTTGATGTTTTTAACTGAATTTGAGAAAATGTAAGTACATATATTTCTGCCTCCCTTTCTTGCCTCTGTCCTGAGACTCCCATTAGGTGTGTGTTGGGCCGCTTGATTCTGCCCTGCGTCCTGCTAAAGTGGTGTTCACTTTGCTTTTTTGTCTTTTCTCCCTGTGCTTTAGCTTCAGTGCTGTGTTGACCTGCTGTCAGAGCTACTACCACTTCCTCAGTGTTTGGACACTAAGCTCTCCCAGCAATGTTTGCAGAGACTATATTCGTCAGTCCTAGAGTTTCCACTTAGTTCATAACATTTTTCATTTCTTTGTTGAAATTCCCCCCTTGTACACTAGTTTTTCCACTAAAAATACATTCTTATATTTATAATAGTTGTTTTAAATTTTAAATTTGTTGTCTGCTAATTCCAAAATTTGTGTCATATCTGGGTCTGTTGACTGTTTCTAGTCAATTTTGTAAAGATCTATTTTTATTTCAGAGAGAGAAAATGTGGGCAAGAACAGGGGAGAGAGGCAGAGAGAGACAGAGGAGCAGACTTCCCACTGAGCAGGTAGCCCAATGTGGGGCTCAGTCCCCGGCCCTGAAAACAGATGCTTAACCCCACTGAGCCACACAGGCATCTGTTTCTATTCTATTGACTGTGTTTTCTCCCGGTATGGAAGGACATTTTCTCATTTTCCCATGTGTCTAGTAATTTTTTATCTTATGTTGGACACTTAAGGGCTATATTGTTGAGAGTACACTGGTGAGAGTGTGGGTGGTGTTGCCTTCCTTAAAAGGAAGGCTGGGTTTTCTTCTGACGGGCAGTTAATCTAGTGGCAGTTCCGCTTATCTTCTCAAGATCTGAGGGAGGCTTTTTAGGGCAAGTCTACAGTAGCCCTTATAGCCCTATTCTTAAGGTGTGATCTCTATGAATGCCTGGCAAGTTCAGTGAAGCCCCCCCTGACCCTTATTGGTCAATTCCACCATCTCTCTTGATCTTAGAGCCCACATGTCAGTGCCTGTGAGCACACGTGCTCTGTCCAGGAACCTCCTCCCTCACATCACACCCTGCAAATGCCTGCTGCCCAGGCAGCCCCCTGCACGGATCCCTGTTTCACTCCAGTATGTCTTCTGTCTGGGATCCACTCCTCAGCGCTGGCTAGGCCAGCCCTGCAACCCCACCTGGCAGAGAGCAAGTGTGAATGTGGAGCCAGCCCACTTTTATGTTCCCTCCTGCAAAAGTTTCTGCTTTGGACCATCTGTTGTCCAGTGCCCAAAAATGATTACTTCATGTATTTTGTTAAGTCTTACAGTTTTGTTTTGTTTTGTTTTTTTCACAGAACAAGACTATAATATCTGTTACTATACCATGGCCAGAAATGGTAGAAAAGGGACTTTCAAATTTATATAAAGACCCAACATTGATGATTATGTTAAATAAAAATGCTGAACAAAGTAGAAATGTCCCAAATACTCTTAGACTACTTCCTTTTAATCTATTTTCTGTCTATTTTAGGGATCCACATGAAATGTCTCATTAATGTATATTCGTTTACATTGATAGTGTGAATGTGAAAATTATTCTAGTAATTGAACACTTGGAGGTAAAAATAGGAGTTGATTAGCAACTGAAATTTTTCATTAAGAACTAAAAATTACATTTACTCTTCAATGTAAGTGCTCTTATAAAATTACTCTGTGACCAATCCCACAGTTTCTTCAAGTAATAGCAAAATGGAAAAATTAGCACAAAAATTTGAAATATGTGTAAGTAAAACAAATGAGCTATCTGCAGTGCACGCCGTGTGGCTGAGTGTGACCACGGATCCTGCCCAGGTTCAGGGTCCAGTGCTCTGAGTGACCAGAAAGATCATTACAAGTGTGGCACCTCTCACAGAACCGCGGCGCTCCCGTCTCTCTCTCCAGCCGCCTAGCGCCCAGTACCGCGCCCAGACACGGCCAGCACCGCGTGTGCTTGGACCTGCCGTCAGAACCGCCGTCAAACCCAGCGGCTGGGCAGGCAAGTCCACAGGGCGCAGTGACACCAGCTACCACTAGAGGGCAGCGACGTTCTACAAATGAGTTTTTGGAAGCTAATTTTTATCTTAGTAAAAGATTTGTCATTTTAAGGTAAAACTCAATTTAAAAATCACTGATGCAGAATGGCAAAGCCAGGGCCCATGTCCTTCATTACCTGGCCGCGTCCTCCTGACCAGCCTTCACCAGCAGCGAAGGACGTTTTAGCCCCACGGCAGGAGGACCAAGGCAGCAGCTCACCCAAACCAACTCCTACAACGTCTCCGCAGTGTCTCTTTTCAAAACAACTTCTGAATTTCTATCCAGGTGGCACCTGCACATGGCTGGGAAGAAGGGCCTCCTACCTGGCTCCCAGGGCTGCTCCCCGGAGGGAATGACTGCGACATACCTAGCCCTGGCCGCCAGCAGGCACATGCTGGTCTCCGGACCCTCGCCTCTCACTTGCTGCCCAGCGGACCGACGTCACACGTTCCCTGTGGAGCTCTGACAGCCATCCATGGGAGCTTAAGTCACTCAGACCCCCCCTTTGCCCTCTTCCCAACTTAGGAGTATCGTTGATTATAGCATGACTTTAATTCCCCTATTCATCATCTTTGTACCTTAAAATGTTACACCAGCTCCAGGTCTCATGGACCCTGAGCTGGTGACCCCCGACCGCTCACCTTCTCAAGCAAGGACGTTACCACAGCCATTCTCCTCCCTTCCAGATACTCCCCTGCCCTGCTAAAGTGTATCGTCAGGACTTCTACTTTTGTATTGTCAGACCTGATAACCACAAAGAGGTTTCCTTTGTCAAAACGTTAGTCCTAAAACTAAAATATCAGTGAACACCATGATAACGCAAATGTTTTCCACCGAGGAGTCAAGCTGTGTACGACTCTTGTGTCTTCTGGAGTTTCCAACTCGCTTTTCTCCATTGTATTATTTTCCTGTGGCACAACACGTCAGGTCCCCGTCTTCACTGCCCCGACTCGCCGGGCCGCCTCTGTCCCGCCGTCCTTTACACAGGTGGCTCTCTCAGCTGCCAGCACAGCTTGACAACTTTTCTGGGTTGAAACTATTATTTCCAACATCCCACATTTTTCTTTTTTGGTTTATTCCCTTGTTTTTCTGGAGCATATCCTTCAAGGAACTTTCTAAAAACAGGTGTGTGGCACATGTATATTCTAGGTCTCTGCCCATCTAAAAATGGCTTTCCATACCCAGACTTGACTGAAAGTTTGGATGAGTTAGAATTCTAGGTTTTTAAAATTATTTCCACCTAGAAAGCTCCATTTTTTCCTCCACCTTCCATTGATGGGTTCTCAGAAGCCTGCAGCCCTTCTGTCTCCTGCAACCTTGTTGGACACTGTCGGTGGTGACTCGGCGTGTCCACAGGGGCCACACGCGAGGGTCTCTTCTCTGCCCTGCTGCTCGTGGGTGGCAGGGCCATTCACGATGTAGGGTGTCTGCCCATCTCAAACTTCTTTCTCAAGGGCACGCTCTGCTCCTGCTACGGTTCCGAAAGTTAAACTCCCCACGTGTCTTCCGGCTTCTGTCACATTTTCTGTATGTCTGTCCATTTTCATGTATCTCCCATGACATTTCCTCACACTTCTTCTGAACCGAGCTTGTGCCCAGCAGAGCTCAATCCTGTGCAGCTCCCGTCCCACAGCAATGCTGTGCGTTAGCTCCAAGCGCTGCACCTTCCCGGTGTGCCAGAAGGTTTTTCTCGATGTTCTCCTCCGACCATCGTGCGATTGTGCATCCCAGTAACTCTCTCTCTTCAAGCCTGTGGCTAGGATGATGCTGGGGAGCTCTCGGGACAGGGCTTTGGCCCACCTGCTGCTGGATGGGCCCTCCTGGGGCCCCACGTCCTGTAGGCAGCCAGGTGCTCCGTGGAGGCCACCCAGGAGCCAGTGTGGGCGGAGTCTCCTTGCAGCCCTCAAGCCGTAGGGCCTGAGACCGTCCCTTGGTCCCCGTGTGTCTACCCCGTCCCCCGCTGGCTGCCCCAGGAGCGAGCTTCCTGTGCCCCTGTGTGGTCAGAGCTCCTCTTCACGTTGGGTCTCCTGCCTCGACCTGCCCCTTCCCCACACCAGGCCTCTGCCGTCCCATCTGAGGAGGGCAGGTCCTGGGGGCCTAGGCTGTCCCAACCCGGTCACCACGCTGTGGCCACCCCCAGGGTAGGGGTAGAATGGAAAGTCAGCGGCTGGAGTGTGTGAGCCTGTCTTCTGTTTGCGGGGCGGCGGGTTCTCAGAACGGGAGCTGCCCCCACGACGTCTGATTCTGGGGGAAACTATGTGAACTAACCAGATACGAGGGTTCCTAGTCCAATTCAGATGGTTTTCCCAGGACTTTCCAGAATCAGACCTTGTTCCTTGGGCCCAGGCCCTTGGAGTTGCCTCATGGGAGGGGGGCCTCTCCTGCCCCCAGCTGCCCCGCATTCCGGGAAGTCCCATCAGTCACCCTGCGCGGCGCCCGTCTTGGGGACGCACACTCACAGGGACCACGGCTGACTTCTGGAACTTGCCAGCGCGCTCCTGCTCACAGAGAGGGTGCCGTGCTCACGTCCGAGAGGCGGCGCCAGTGGTCTCTAGGAGCGTGGGCTTGTAGAGCCAGACGCTGGGGCCCCATCCCGGCTCTGCGCCTGCCGGCAGGGCCCATGAATCACCCTCGACCTGCCTCAGTTTCTCCCATCAACGTGGGAGCCGTGGTGCCTAGCAGAGAGCCGCTCCGGGGAGGGAGTGAGGCAGTGCCGCAGGGCCCTCGGGCGCACTGTGCCAGCCCCGTACTGAGGCCCTGGCCACGGGCTGGCCGGCGTCATGCAGACGTCTCGGTGGCTTTCACCTGTGGCCCCAAACGTGCATCAGGCGTGACTGACGAGGGCCGTGGAGCAGCTGACCTCTGGCAGACGCGTCCCCGTCCCCGTCCCCGGAATTTGGTGTGTGGGACAGACGGCTCCCAACGGCCTGCGGCAGTGGGCAGCCCACGACAGGGACGCAGTCCAAGCCCGGGGATGCGTAGCTCTCAGGCGCGGCTGGGGCTTGGCCTCGGAATGCCAGAATGGCTGCTTGGCCACCACGACTGTCTTCATGCGCTTGGGTCCGTGATTTCATCATTCCCAGAAAAGAGCCTGAAAAGAACCTCAAGGAAACCCGTCCTCACCGCAGAAGCTTTCACCCCGCAGCGGCGTGAGGCAGCTCGCACTCACGGGGCGGGAAGGCCTGGGGGCTGTGGCCAGCGCCGGCAGGGACCGCTGTCAGCCTGTGGCCTACTCAGGGACCCAGTCAGGGACCCAGTCAGAGCTCTGGGTCCATCGCGCAGCACATGACGCAGCCGGAAGCCCCTTCCTGCCTCTGTGCCCCTCACGTCGCAGCTGCTGAGGCTGGCAAGGGGTGGGTGTCTCGCTCGGTGAGCCCCGCCGGCCTTGCTCCTTGGCCCCGCACGCTGACGTGCGACACGGAGGCTCCACGGGACGTCCCTGCCCCCCCAGCCACCGGGAAATGAGCGTCACCGGGACAGCGAGTCAGGTCAGGAGGGCACTCACGGGTCGCACGCCCGCAGGTGTCTGATGCCCATCTGGGTGGCCTTCTGCGAGCAGAGCATGGTGAGCTCGTAGTCGTGCGCCGCGTGGGCGAAGTGTGTGAGCCGCGTCAGCGTCTGCAGCTCCACCAGCGGGTCGGACCAGCTGCACTCGGACGCCATCCTCACCAGCTTCAGGGCAGGGGAAGGCACGTCCGTGAGCACGGCTATGTGCCCGGCACCGAGCGCGAGGAGGCACTGGGGGGAGCTCCCACACGGGCCCAAACCGGGTGCCCCGCACCCCGGTGTAGAGTGCTGTGGCAAGGACAGGGTCACACCCCGGGGCACCAGTCTGCCCCTCAGGCGAGGCCCCTGACCCTGGCTCCACGTTGGAGCCACAGGTTCCAATGAGCGGCCTCGGGTCAGGGGACTCCTACCTGGGCCAGGGGGGGCACGGTGAAGTCCATGAGGCCCAGCCCGTTGCAGGAGTACATCTCCAGAGCGACGAGGACCTGCATCACTGAGTTGATGTCCTCGTTGGGACTCTGGGGGAAGGAAGCATAAGCATCTTCAGCCCAGGGGTGCCGGGACACGCCGGGACACAGCAGCACAGCGGCAACGACCAGAGCCACCGGAGGGTCTCTCCAAGATCCGTGTTCAGCCACCAGCAGGCAGGAGGGCTGGGCCGTGGCCGGGTGCGGCTCCAACTGCTCAGCAGCCCAGGGTCCGAGTCTGTGGGAAGAGAGGCTGCAGGCCCCCGCCCCACTCCCACAGTCTCAGGTTCACAGCTCGGTGGCTCCCTCTGGCGTGGGTGCACCTCCAGGTAAGACCACAGAACTAAAGACAGGATGTTGTGGCCCACAGCAGTGACCTCACTGGGGACAGACCTTCCCAGAGGGCAGGGCTCCTCTACAGCATGAGGGAGGCCGCCCCACGCGCCCCTGTCCCGTGGGGGAAATTTCAGCAGGATGCTCCTACCCAGCAGGTCCGGGCGCATGGGGACCAGCCCCTTCAAGCCCCCGCCCCACCCCCGACCCTGGCCCGCGCCCCACGGCCACGGCACCTGCTCATCCACGCCCAGCCGCGGCCCGACCTGCTGCTGCAGCAACTGCTTCCCCTTCACCCAGGCGGCGACGAGCTGCTGCTGGGCACTGGTGGGCACCACCTCCTCGGGCACAGACCCGTCCGTCAGGCTCAGGGCAAACTCGCAGACCTAAAGCGGACAGGTCCTTGCTCACCGGGCCCAGACGTTACAGGGAAGCCCGAGCCAAGACCCAAATGATTTAAAAACAAGTGGACGTGGCTCCTGGTCAGGCCGCATCCATGGCTGAAGCAGACACCAGTCCCAACGCTGGTGGCCGGACCCCCCTCCACCCGGGGGCCCGGAGCGTCCCCAGAACATCCAGGGCTCTGCATGTTCCCCTCCTTGCCCGCACCCTGCTTCCAGCTCCTAGCTGCTCTGCCACCTGTCACCTCCGCTAACGGGTGCGGGTCCCCCGGCCTCGCGTGGGGTGCTTCTACCTCCACGGCGGTCCTGACTTCAGAGCTGGCCACCGAGTCCAGTGGGACGTGAAACAGGTTTGAGCGCACGGGTCTTTTCGATTTCTCTGGCACGTGGGCTGGAATCCACTTAATGATCAGGCCTCGGGCCAGTGTGTTACAGAGCATGGCCAGCACGGTGGGGTGTCTGCAAAGCAACGTGCCGGCGGTGAGGGTGCGGCCGCTCACACAGAGGCAGACGTGGGGCCTCAGGAGACGCGGGCACCTCAGGAGTCCCGGCTCCCATCTCACGGGACCAAACGACAGGCGCTCATGGTTCCAGCCCTAGGCCATCGGGCTGTTCTCAGACCGTCCAGGGGACGCTGGCTATGACGAGGGCCACACTGGAGACACTTCAGTCCCCCACTGCAGGTGGCCTTCGCACTGAAAGGGCCCCCCCCATGCCAGGTGGGTGGGCTCCTCAGGGCTGGGACATCTGTCCAACCGGCCCAGTCGTGGCTCAGATTAGAATTGTTGAAATGGCCTCCCCGTGTCAAGAATCAGGGACTCAAAGTCTGCTCCCCGTCCACAACAGCAATCTGCAGGAGAGCGGCCGAGAGGGGAGAGGTGGGTGTCCACGGGATCCCAGTGGGCGCTCGAGTCGGAGGGGCGTCCCAGGGCCTGCTGAGCAGCTCTGGGTCTCAAGGCCCACTTTTGTCACTTGTCACTTAAAAAACCCACACATGCTGCCGCGTCCGGACCCACAGCAACGTCTCTACCTCAGCCTCCAATGCGAAACTCTGACGTCTCATTGCTCCAACCAAAAGCCAAACCAACAACAAGAAAAGAGAGTTCGGAAGCGTCATCCCCGTCAGAAAACTCTGACCAGACCTGATGCTTTCCAGTGTCTCGTTTTAGCTCCTCGTTCACGTCCGGCTGGACAAGAAATCACAGGCACAGATCCTACCCCTCTCCGACCCTCTCCGAAACCAGCACGAGACTCCTAGATGGAGTTGCTCTTTCCGTCCACTCTCCCAGGGGACTCGGGTCTCAGCAAATGTTCCTTAAAATCCTTCAGTTTGGAAAACAGTGAGGCGGGCGGGATTCTGCACGGGGCGCTGTGGGGGCAGGGGTGAGCCTCTGCTCGGGGCGCGCAGCTCGGAGACAGAGCCTGCGGTGGCTTGAGCAGCCCTCAGGTTTCCCCGTGTCCCCATCACCGCCACCACCAGCCAACCGCAGCCCCGCCGCTCACTGGAAGGACGGCACGGACCATGGGGGCGGGTCTCGGGGCACCCGCCCCACAACAGACCCACATGTGACCCCAGAGTTGCCAGGCCTGAATCGAAGTCTCAGGGCATCAGGAGGGAGACAGCCCTGGAGGTCAGGAGTGCATGAAGCATCCACAGGCCACACCTACCCGCTGTGGCCCATGGCCTTGACAATGCTCAGGAGGTGGTCCAAGGTGTCCACGAGCTCCCTCTGCCTCCCGGCCACAATGAGGTGGTAGTTGTGGTTCAGGACGTAGACCACCGCGTTCTGCACGATCCAGCCCTCCTGGAGCTCTCGTCCGATCTCGGCGGACCGCAGCCAGCTGTTCATGGCACTCTGCGACAGACCCTCAATCCAGGTCCTGCGGACACCACAGCCCCCCGAACCCTTGCTCAGACGGCGTCACAGACGCAAACACAACACCTGCTGACGGCCCAGCTCCCCGCGGCATCTGGGGTCACAAAGGTGCCCCTGCCGGGGCTGCCTGCTGGAACCCACCGTGTTCCCTCCCGGGGCGCTGCTCTGCCCAGCATATCCCGTCCCCCAGTTGGACGTCCTCCCTCGGCACTGAGTTCCCAAATCACACCCCTACTCTGCCTCAAACCTCGGTCTGGGCCACCAGCCGCCCCTCGCCCTCTGCGGGACGGCCCGTTCTCTTGGACCTATGGTCCCAACGCCTTAGGGTAAGGGGCCAAATGGCAAGTACCCTAGGCTTTGTTTTTTTTTTTTTTTAAGATTTTATTTATTTATTTGACAGAGAGAAATCACAAGTAGGCAGAGAGGCAGGCAGAGAGAGAGAGAGAGGGAAGCAGGATCCCTGATGAGCAGAGAGCCCGATGCGGGGCTCGATCCCAGGACCCTGGGATCATGACCTGAGCCGAAGGCAGCGGCTTAACCCACTGAGCCACCCAGGCGCCCCAGTACCCTAGGCTTTGTAAGCCGTGGAGTCTCTGTTGCCCATTTTTCTCTATTTTACTTCACAGACTTTTAATACGTCAAAACCACTCAGCACGTGGGCTGCACAGAAGCATTCGTGGGTTGGGTGTGGCCCGGGCCGTGGCATACTGAGCCTCCTCCGCACAGGGAGGCCCCTGCCACGTGGCAGCAGGCTCCCGAGGACGGGGCCCTGGGCTGTGCTCCGTGGGACACCCCCCAGGACTGAGGCAAAGACGCCGACCACGTAACAAACACCAAGACAAACGTTCCGAACGCTAAACGCGGGGGCCGCCCTCCACAGGAGTCTGTTCACTGGGTGGAACCTGCGGGGGAGGGGCTCACCGGCCCCCCAGTGAGGGAGAAGTGTCGCGGCTCCTGCGAGACGCATGGACGCCCACTAGGTAACACGTTCTCTTGCAGGAATACTCAGCTTTAGATTAAACGTGACTAAAACCCACCACCGTTAAACCCGCACCGCGAACTACGAATGCTTCTGTGGCCGCAGCTCATGTGGCACATCTTCTGGGCTGTTGTACACAAAATGTTCCTTCCTGTCCACGTGCACCATGACTGGGGCCCAGACGCCATAGGCAGAGCTGACCACAGCTCCTCCCGTGAGCAGAGCCGCTCCCCTCCGCACTCCTACCCGTCTCTGGTAACACACCGACCGGGAGGAGCCACATGTGTCACGCAACACAAGCAACGGCCCGGGTCTGGGCACAGACACCCCGAGTCTGGGCCCTGCCGCCCTCGGCCACCCAGCCCACACTCCGTGGCCAAGCCGTGCCCGCAGCTGCGGGGGTCGCCTGGGCCCCGTCGGGCCACCTACTGGTACGTGATCCACTGCGCGTTGTCCTCCGGGGACTCGACCGTGTAGCCGGCCGAGTGCTGGCTCAGGTCCTCTGGGGGGCGGGGACGGTTGTTCAGCTCCACACCCTCCGAGCGCAGCAAGTGCACCGTGGCCTGCGAAGGAAGCGTGCGGCACGAGCGGTCACAGGCGAGGGCTCCGGGCGCCAGGGGGGACGCACAGTCAGGCCTGAGGGGGGCAGACCCTGTGATGAACCCGTGGTCTTCTAGAGGGTCCTCCCCACCCCCCATCTGCCCCACGTCCCCCACGCATACGGCGTCTCAGGAAGAGGAGGCCCCGTTCTAGGACCACCGTCCCGGTCACGTCATCCCTCGGACGTCACTTCTGAGCGTCTGCCCCCCAGTCACCCCACGAGTGTGCACAGACACTGGTGGCTGCTGAGGGCACTGGCACGGGCGGAGGGGCCGCACACAGGGGTGGGGTCGGGACGCTCCTGCTCCCACCGGCTGTCAGCTCCCCTGCACCAGGCTCTGCCCCAGGCATCCCCGTGTCCCCAGCTCATGGCCCAGACACAATCATCCAGTGAGGGCTCCAGCCACATCCCCCACTGACCCCAAGAGGAACAGGCCAAGGTGGTCCCGAGAACGATGACGCTATGGAACGTCAGCAGGGACGCCGCCCTGGGAGGAGGGGCAGGCGATGCGGTGGAGACCGCGGTCCCGGCCCGGCGCCGACCCTGGGGTCTGCATGTGCTCACTGCGGGACACACCAGTGAACCCCAGAGGGTCCAGCCCTGCTCCGGCGCGAGCAGAGGGAACGCACAGCTCACGCAGAGCGCCGTTGAGGGGACGCCCCAAGAGCGCAGCCATCGCCTCCGTGCCTACGAAACGGCCACAGACGCAGAAAGGGCTTCCACGGAAGGACATGGATTGACACAAGATTGTGACCCATCTGTGAACCCGGGGAGGCGCCCCTCCTCTGCACGGTGCTTCGGGAGCCAGTCGGGGGGGTGGAGTGCGCAGCCCAAGCCGCGGGGCAGGGCCGCACCTCCGCGCTGATGAAGCCCACTTCCGCAAAGGTGCGCAGTAGGCTGGGGCTCGCCTGCCTCTGCAGGGTGACCTCCGACGGGCCCCCGGTGTCCTGGGCCGGGCTGTCTCCACCCCTCCTCTTCTTTCCTGAGGGAGAATGCGACGCTGGAGCTCTGTTCGGACATGCTCGTCTTTACTAGCAAACAACATACAGGGATTCCCGGCCGGAAGGGGCCGGAGGAAACCCCTCATGGGTGGGCCCCCCGGGGAGGTGGTAAAGCCCCCCCCCACCGACAATGCGTTCCTGGCCTGGCTCACGCAGTCTCGCCTCTCGAGAAGCCCCGCCCCCCAAGCCTGCGGCACCCACGTCCCCGACCACGTGGGACCCCTGGCACGTCCCTGTGTCCTAAGTGTCCCCTAGACCAGAGCTGCTGCAGGGAGCCGTCCCCACACTCCTGAGAAGCCCACCGGCCCAGATCGGCCCCCACCTTCACATCGCCCCTGCCCTCCGGCCCGACGGGTCCCCGTGAGCTGGGGTCCAGCATGGGCGCACCGACCTGGACCCCGGCCTCTGGCGGGAGCCCGTCCCACTGAGCACCATGCGGACAGCCCCTGCCCAGCCACTGCCCGCGGCTCCGAGGCACTGGGCCCGGGTACCTTTCTTCTGCCGCGCCAGCTTCTTCACCTTGACGTTGTCATACAGGAGGCAGAAGCGGCTCGCCGCCCGGCAGACATCCCACACGCCTTGCTTCCGGGACACTTTGGCGAGCTCCGCCCAGATCTGGATTCTGCTCACCGGACGGGAGGAGGTGGACACGTGAGCAGGGGCGACATCAGGACCCCCCAGCGCGGGGGTGCGCCCGGTGGACCCACGATGGGGCGGCGGGTGCCCCACGTGCTTCCCTCAGGACCATCTGCCCCACAGATGCATCCCGACAGCCTGGCCCAGCCGGTGCCCGCGCCCGCGCCACGTCACCCACCTCTCCTTGTCGTTCTCGGTCCCCAGACGCCGCAGGTGCCCAGCGGCTTTGTCCACGCTGACCATGTGGTGCCGTGCCTTTGCAAACAGGTAGGTGAAGCGGCCCCTGACTTTCCCCATGGACACTGAGGGTAGACGGGGAGATGCCAGGCTCACGTCACAATGTTCGGGGACCACAGGACTGGGAGGAGCTCTGTCTCTGTCCTGGGGACCCTGCGCCATGAGCACAGCCACCGTGCCCAGCAGCCTGGGCTCCGCGGTCTGGGGGGGCTCTCCCTCACACCGGCCCCTGCCCAACCACCCCCCAACCCTGCGGTCTGCTGGGTGGTGGGCCGTGCCCAGTGGCACAGGGCGTGTGCACGTGCTGCCCCCTCACAGCCAACAGGCCAGCCACCGCTGGCAGCCGGCCCGAGGAGCCCCTTGAAGGCCTCACCAGGCTGGGCCATGGGGCCCTCTTCAGCTGGGTCACTGGCAGGCCGGCAGCACGCTGGCTCATCGGAGCTGTCAGGACCGCCAACATAGCCCCACACTGGCCGGGGCAAGGTGGAAACCCAAGGTGGCACCACCAGGCCCCGGAGAAGCCTGAGGCCAACAGAAGGCCACGTCCTAAGAGCAGTCCTCTCCCCAGCGCTGGGGCATGCCAGCCGCGGGGGCAGAGCCTTGGGTGGGCTCCCTAGTCAGGCACAAACCTGCCATCCACAGGATGTGACGCACTGGGCACGTCAGTGATGCGAGCAGAACTATGCGATGAAGCCCTAACCCCAGGACCCTAGTGACCTTATTTGTGTCTTTACAGGGGCAATCCAGTTAAAATGAGATCGTGAGGCCGGCCCTAATCTGTTATGACAGATGTCCTTAAAAGGGAGGAACTCTGGAGCCAGAGAAGCAGGTACAGAGGGAAGATGGTGAGAAGACACAGAGAAGACGGCCGTCTGCACGCCAAAGGGGGCTGAAGCCACCCTCCGCCCAGCCCCGGGGGCAGCTCCTAGCCCTGCTGACCCCTCGTCAGGAGCCCTGGCCTCCAGCGCATGATGGTCAGTCCTGCCATGAATGAGGTCCTGGGGGACAGCGGCCGAGCTGAGACCCAGACCGCACGCATGTCAAGGCTGGGACGGGCGGGTTCAGGCCTTGGGTGGGGCGCAGCCTGGTCCCCACGTGCTGGGCGGGGGCAGTCAGTCCGTGGACGGCAGGGGGCTAAGGGCGGCTCCTGAACAGAAACACGCTGGGCTCCACGGGCGAGGCAGCGCGTACCTTTGGCCTCGTTCTCGCTGTCGAGCACAACTTGGAAGGTGTCTGGGGCCAGCGCCAGGCCCGCGTTCACCAGGAGGGCCCGCTTCCTCCTGACGCTGTCTTTGGGGACAGCCTTCTTCGCCTGCAGCGGGAAGACACGGCGTGACAGGCGGGCTACCACATCACCTGAACGGACCCTGTCCCAGGCTGCTCGGCCAGCCCCGTCCCTGGGCAGCCCCACGGAGCCCGGGTCGGCACCTGCTCAATGGCCATGATGGCCTTGTCCTCGGCACGCTCGGGGCACTGGTACAGCATGGTGCACAGGCACAGCCGGTTCAAGGCCCTGGTGAGTGTGTCCTGGTAGAGGCCGAGGCTGTCCAGGAGTACAGCCTTCTGCAGGTGCTGGATGGCCGGCTCCAGCCGGTCCTCGTCCTCCTCAATGTGCGCCATCTCCATGTGCACTTGACAGCGGAGCAGGACCATGAGGCTGGGAAGGACAGCACGGTGTGACGCAGGCCTGGGCGCGCTGACCTGCCGTGAGACCCCCCTGGAGCCTGGGCTTCCCAGCGTGCTTCGGCTCCTGCCGGCTTTGCGGGGAGGCCTCGTTTGGGGACAAGCAGGGAGGCCCTTGCAGGGTAGCTGTAGCGCCTGGGCTCTGGGGCTGAGGAGCAGCAGGTCAGTGGACGGGGAACTGTGCGGTGGGACCTGCTGGGTAGGGGCTCAGCAGACACGGGGGGCTCGTGACGCTGCCGCTACCGCCTACGGTCGTCAGAACCGTCCCACCTGCGTGCCCGCTGCTGCCTGCTGCCGCGACAGAAGTCTGCTATTTGCCTCCCGGGATGGGGCCCTGCTCTGGTCTCAGCAGCTCAGGGACACCCCCCAAGGGCCCTGCCCCCTGCCTGGCTGCTGCTCTGCCAGTGTCTGCACGTGCCACGGAAGTGTCCTCGGAGCTTTTCCATCACCAAGAGGCGGAGACCCACATCACAGCCACCACCTGGGACACCAGCATCAACAAATCCCACAGATTCGGCCGAACACAAGCTCTGCAGGACCCGTGAGCTGACTGAGCGCAGACAGAGGTGCAAATGCCATGTGATGCGGCTGTGACCTTGGGGACACGGAGGCAAGGAATGCCTGTGGCTTCACCCACGCCCGTGAGGGTCCCTGGTTGGTGCGGGACTGAGGTTCCTGCTCTTCATCAGGGAACCAGGTTCTGCAGACCCTGCCCAGAATGCGCCACGGTTTGGGACAAGCCCTGCCCTGAATCGTGCTCCTCTGGGCAACAGGAGCCCGGACCCCCAGCGGGAGACCCGACCAGGGCTGACTCCGCACAGGGCGCTATGCAGAGGGACAGTCAGGAACAGTCCGGCAGAGCATGGGGCCAAGGAGGTGCCATCGCAGTGCAGCCTGGGCAGCCACAGCCACAGGCGGGACAGGGTGAGGGGCTCCGCGGGGCCGGAGACTGGACGTGCAGCGGCCTGTGCGCCCCCAACTGCAGTTAACTCAGCAAGAACGGACGCTTCTCCGGACAAGACGGCAGAAGGCAGCGCCTGGTGGCACATCCCCCCAGTGTCCAGCACACAAGGAACACGAGACGCGCGAGGAAAGGGGAAAAATGTGACCCACAGTCCGGAGAGGGCAAGGGCCAGGCATTGGGTTTGCCAGATAAATCCTTCAATGCAGATATTAAAATGCAAATATAAATGTATTTTAAAAACCTGAAGGAAGACAATATTAAGGACGGAACAGATACGGACTCTCGGGAGAGGAGAACCCGCAGGAACAGAGACACCAGAGCTCGGAACCAGAACATGCGACGTTGGAAAGCAAACGAGCCAGCCACAGCCTAGACATCATGCATTGGAGGGACAGACTGAGGTAGATTTTTAAAATGAGCAGAGGCTTGGGACTTGGGGGCCATGTCCAGGGCACGTGCGAAGCTCAAGTCCCAGGAGGCAGAGAGGGAGGACGAACGGTGACAGCTAATACTTCCTGGTGAGAGGCCCGGTCCCATGTCTGCGCATCTCAGCAGACCCAACGAGGAGCGTTAAAGGCTCAGGGGTACCGCAGTCAGAACTCTGAAAACAGCAAGGAGCAGAGGGACGTACGGCGAAGGGCTCGACCCCACTGAAAACAGTGCACATTTTTATCAGGAATCTGGATGGCCAGAAGAACTAGAACAGCCTGGTCAAGGTGTTCAAAGAAGAAAATACCTGGAAACCCAGAACCCAACAGCCAGCAACGACAGTCTTCAAAGAGGAGAGTGAGGGAAAGTCATCTCAGACCAACAAGGGTGCATCGCCAGCAGGGAACCGGGATGTGTAGGAAGGAAAGAGCCAGTGGGATCAGCGGAGTAGGTAAACGTGAGAAACTACCGTTTTCCTCCGTCATTTTCTTAAAACCAAGCAAGCAAACAAACAAACAAATCCACGGGCTGTGAGACCAGATGGCAGCTCCGCGAGGGGAGGGAGATCTGTTTATGCCTGAGCCACATCGCACTACGTCCAGACGTGAAACCCACGAGCAGGCAGCACAAAGGCAGCGGGTGCAGGAAGTGGGGAGGGGCGCCGCAGAGCTCTACCGTCAGGACGTGGGGAGGGGTGCGCGAGTGGCCCACACGGACCTTGCTGCCTGAGGACCTGCATTACTGGCCCTTGAGCAGCCCTCCGCCCTGGGAGGGAGGGTGGAGAAACGAGCCAGCGAAGGAAGTGGAGCCGAATTCTAAACATCAACCTCAAGGAAGGCAGGGAAGGAGCAGCCAGAAGCCGAAGGGACGAGCAGAAAGAAATGAGGTCAAGACAAGCTCAATGCGACACCAAACACAGAGGGACTAGAGCTCCAGGCACCACAGATGGTCCCAGTAGATGAAAGGAAGATGGGTGGATGCTGCCCACCAGATGCGTGCCTCACAGCACCTCCCGCCTCTCTTCTCCCTGCTTTTCTATCTTCCCAGCACTTAACACAGCCGGCCTGCTGAAGGAGTGCAGGTGCAGGTGTGGGTG